TATATATAATACTTAATCTAACTTTTTGAGCGCCAACGCGAAACGAGCTTTTTATCGAAATAGAACACGAAGAGCTAACGTATCAAGAAAGACAACGAAAGGCGAACTAGAAATCAGAAATCAAACAATCGACAACACAAGTAACGACACACTGTGCCGTTACAGGGAGGTTATCATGCTCTTCTGGGGAGGATGTCAGTGTTTTTTTTTCTAAGAAAACGGAAAATACAGCGTCCAAAAAAAGAAATCGCGCAAAACATAAAAATAACAAAAATAGAGTTTGTTGACAATCGATCATCATGTGAAAAGAACTTTTGCAGTTTAGAGGTTTTACATTTTGAGTATTGTGTATTAGTATAATGAAGCTAAAAAGAGACATGTGAGTTTCGCATATTAGCCCCAAAGGAGCTGCGCAAACAAGCTTTTTTATTAATAGTATCCACTATGTGTTCAGAGAATGACGACAAAGCACCAAAAGTTCAAATTTTTTCATATATTTTTTTCTTCTGATCTTGCCATTAAAATAATAAATCAACATGTTTCGATACTTTATTGTATTTATAATATTAATGATTTTTAAAACTTTAGCCTTTGAATTTAAAAAAAATTTGCTATAAGATAAATAAACTAATACTATGTATTTCGGTTATCAAAGTCAAAATTAGGATTCTTACTGCCCTGTTCTATCCTGCAGGACAGGATAAAACAGAACAATACATCTTGTGCTCATCTCTGATACAGATAAATTCTGTGGATTTGGAACAAACGAAGACGGTTTTCATTTCCCATTTTTTTTATTTGACAAAGTATCATTTGTATTAAGTATTTATATAAATTCGTTTGGAAATATAATAAATTAAAGAAAACACTTTCTATTGAACAACTTCGTTGTTTTGAAATCAGCTTCTACACAATAGCTAACACAAATTGTCATAGACGATTTAAGAGAAATTACAATTATTGAAGTATGTAAATTTTATGTTTGTCGATCTATATTCAGATGTATAAACAAATATAAAATTTAAATGCACCACTAAGTTATTTTCATGCAAAAGAAAAACGAGTTTTTCTTTAGACTTGATATCATTTTAAACAAGGATCATGGAAAAATGTGGATCAATAGGTTAAAGTAATATCAACCATAACTTATTCGATTTCAAGTCCTTCTTGAAATAGAAAAGAATCTCTGAGAACTATACCATCATAACTGAGAAATTCTTAGTAAATAAATAAATATCGTAGAAAAAAATAATTCTTGAGAGTGTGGGTGTTTCATTCGAATTTTTGTTCTTCTATCCACACTCAAGCCGTCGCATCTACAATCTCAAGAGATTATGATTCGCATAGAAATTGACCAGAGACAACAAGAAATTGGTTGTCATTTCAAAGTTTTTTAATATTTATAAAACTACTATTTGCTTATTGAAAACAAAATTCTAAAAATGACATTTATATCTTTGGAGGGGTCTCTCCATGAACTTTCCTCTTAATAGATACATTTTTCTATAACATATTCATGTATCAAAGACTTAAAATTATTTTTATGGTAATAGCTGAAACTAGTCGTGTGAAAGAACTCATCCTATAAATGCAATAGTCCGATCTAAGATTCGCCTAGACCAATCTAAGATAAAAGACAGAGGCGTATAAGATACCCTATTGGCCCATTTCGAGTTTTTTCAACTGAACATAGTCAAATTATATATGAAATGAAAACTGCCCTTGAAGCAAGCATTTTGATACTAAATCCATCACGAAAAATTCATTTAAAAAAAGTTATGGACATAAACAAAAGTTGACTATTTGACTATTTCTCTTGGAAACAATCTTCCATTTTCGGCACAAATGTATCACAATAGAACTGTTCTCATACTGACCATTCGATAGACATTTTTACGCGCTACAAAATGGGACGATTACGAAAGCCAAAAGCCATTGGCCACTTAAAGATTGCGTCGGCATTTACTTTTTTGACTGCTGATTTTGTCGTCTTTTTCTACTCTCTATTGGATTATAGCCTGAAAGACTATAGTTGTTGTAAAAAATGATGTTATATTCGGAATCAGCATCCAACCCTCAGTAGATTTCACTGCATTTCAAATCTTTTTGAGTAATTAAATTTTAGCCGAAAAGATTCCCTGCACTCCCCATCAAGATTGGATGAGAACAATAATTTCACCAGAATCCCTTCGTTTTCTTTGAACGTTGTGCCATTTCGAGTTCTAATATCATTTTATAGGGTTAGAACTTCATTACTATGGTCGAAATCGTGTTTTAATGAAATTAATATATTCGCCCAGCCTTGAGGGAGAATGCAGGGAATTTTTTCGACTAAAATTTAATTACTTGAAAAGATTTGAAATCCAGTTAAACCCACTCAAGCTTGTATGCTGATTCCGAATATAGCACAATTGTTTACAGCAACTACAACCTTTCTGGCACTAATCCAATAGAGAGTAGGAAAAACCGACAAAATCAGCACTAAAAATAGTGTATGCCGAAAGTATCTTTAAGTGGCCAATATTTTTTGGATTTCGTAGTCATCCTATTTTGTAGCGCATAAAAATACCTATCGAATGGTAGATATGAAAAGAGTTTTGTTTTTGTAATACATTTGTGTCGAAAAGGGAAGATCATTTCCAAGAGAAATAGTCAAATAGTCAACTTTTGTTTATGTCCATAACTTTTTTGAAATGAAGTTTTTTCTTGACGGATTTAGTATAAAAATGGTTGTCTCAACGAGAGCTTTCAATTCGTACGTAATTTCACTAGATTGAGTTGAAAAAAGCGGAATGGGCTGATAGGGTATCTTATACGCCCCTGTACTTTGTCCAATTTTTAGTATGTGCGTAATATATGTTAGAAGTACTCGAAAGTTGAAGAAAATGACGGGTAGATTCATACATGAATAAAAGCGAAAAACAAATTCCACTTTTCAAGTGAACTTCAGTGAGCTGTGCTTCTGTATCAAATGAGTTCTTTCGTGTACAGTAAATTCCTTTAGATGAGGCATCGATGAACATTGTATTAGAATTACATTTTGTGGCGCTATCAATGATGTCGCGTATTGAAATAAAGAAGAACGTTTAATCAACCAGTGTGCTTGTAAATGAAATCAATTTTTCTTTCCCGCATATTGCGATACAAGTATGTTTCTTTTAGAAATCAGTAAGAATAAAGAATCTGCTACCAACTGATATTCATTCATTTAGAGTTGAAGCTACTAAATATTCCATTCTAGTTTGGTCTAGCCTAAACTAGGATCGTAGCGAGATTGGCCTACAGCATGCATGATTACTTTTAATTCTCACGGTTTATGAAAAAAGAAGTTTTGAAGTTGAATAAAGAAAAAACCGAGCTTTTTAAAATAATTATCAATAGATTTCCAAGTTTTCTAATGTAATGATTGATTGAAAATAAATTCAAAAATGTTCATTTTACTCCTTCATATAGTCCATTGATCTTGAGGATGCGAAAGCAGATGTTTTGATTGATCATCATAATTAAGAAATTCTCAATAAATAAATTTGCATTTTGATGGCATAAAATGGTGCACACATCATTTTCTTATACTTGAGAATATGAATATGTATGCAAACGTTCGATTGCACGATACCGTCTATGACTTTTGAGATAGTTCATCGAATATCGTCTGATTATCACGCGAGAATAAGTAAGACGTAATTTTGACAACATAATCCTCAGAAATCTATCGTTAATGATTTTACCAAGTTTGCCAGTGCTGTTTATTTTTACTTCATAGTCGTGAAGTATGCCGATTCTGCATTTCTAATGCGTTGTACAAATAATTAACCGATGTGTGATTTGAAGTCTTAACTCCGTCAAAAACATCTATCTGGTGTGAACCATTCTTTAGTTAATAATTTCTTCCTAATGAATGATTTGTTTTCTATAGTCTGTATTCAAGCATTCCAAGTAATTCAACCAACATTTCGTTGATATGTTCAATCATATCCTATAATTCAATTCAATGATGTTGTACTCATATTGTACTAATTCATTAGAGTACTTGCACAGAAAAATTCTGTAAATAAAGTCAAAGAAGCCAGTTATTATCTCTCTAGAATATGACAATTAGGAATCATTGTATTGGTTTTGCCACTATTTATTATAATTCAATATTCATTATTTATTTTTTGTCCAGATGGTTTATTTTTGTTTACGAGAAAACAATTCTTACTCTGTTTTAATTACGCTGATGATATATAGGCACGATGATGAAGCATTATTATATTTTTTACTTATTTATTTTGCGTCTTTTTTGTCTTCTTTTTTTTTCATTTGATTTATGCGTTCTATTGTATATACTTGAATTCAAGAGCAGTTCGAAAATTCTTTTTTTTTATAGAATTATAAAAACCATTGACTTATTTCGTTGGCGAATGGATTATAGAAGTAAAAGATTTCAATATCGCAGCAAGCCTTTGTACTAATTAATATTCTTATTTTTCGTCTACTTTACTGTGCAAAACATTCTCAAACTGATTTTTATTTGAATCGATTATCGCGTTCACGTGAAAGCAATCTGATGTCTTAGTTGCTTGCAGCAATTGCCTTCTGGTTTCTTTTGATTATAAAACTATATATTAAACTTTATTTTATCATCAAAAAGTTCGTATGTTGTTACTTTCTAGTTAACAAATCAACCCTTTGTATAATTTATGTAACAAAAGTATCTTATCAGAATAATACACCCGCTGCATAGTGTTAATAGAAAAGAAGCCTGTATATTTGCTGCTCAATATTGTTGTCTGCCGAGTACTCTTTGCATTTCTAACAATGTTATGTGTTGTTTTCTTTTATTTTTCTTTGATACTGTTTTGTCTTAAATAGATTTAAAAAAAACATTCTTTATGAATAGAGAACATCAATATTTCTGTTTGATTGTATTATTTCAGAAGGATCGAATTCTTTGGTCACATAATATTTCAACACAAGTCATTCGCGGATTTCATTTCATTTTCTATTTATTTTCTTCGATGGATACACTATCGTCAACGAGTCTTAGTACGAAACTATCGCGGGTGCGCCTGTTTCCTAATAAAACTGGCGTTAAATCGGTCAGCGTTCATCAAATTCAAGGTATTCACAGTATGCGAGCACGAGTAGCACAGGTTAGTTTAGCTAAGAATAAGAATAAAAATGTCATTCTCTATTATGTCTTTTAGTCGTCAATTAATCCCAAAAGTGCTACACAGAATTCACTGACATCCTCAGAGACAAATAATGCATTTAGAGGCTTTAATGTTAGATCAAGTAGTTTCAAAAAACCGAAAAGGTAAACTAAAAATTAACTCACCCAACGTTTTGCACTTGCAATTATAGTTGGCTATTTTTCGCAAATGTTTGGTTACTAATATGAGAGAAATCAAACTAGCTATTTTCTATGTTTTGTTTTCCAATTTACTTTGATTATCTTTACTGAGAAGAAAAGAGCTCATTGCAATTATAGAAAATGGCACAAGTTTTGAGTCTCGAAGAATATGAATTTAAATATGCACAGAAACTAATCTCTAATTGAATGTATACGTATGAATTTTAGGTATTTTTACTAATTTTTCAAACCGCATGATATTTGTACATACAGTTGAGTGCAAACATAGTTATAGAAGTAAAAAGAAGATTATCTTTGCTTTTTCAACCTAGATAAACAAGATTCTTATTAGAGTAAGAAGAAAAACATAGGGCTAATACGTATAGTTACATAGTGAAGTCTTTTAGAAAGACAGATTTTCTGCTCACATAAAATATTAAAATACATATCCATGATACGATGTCTACACTACACAATGAAACGTTTTGCATTCATCTTTCTTGAATTTAGCAATACTGATGATAACTAATGAAAGAAAAAAATCTAATCTGAATTTATTGTCTTCGAAAGTGTTATTAGTATCTTATGCAACATTATTAATAACCTTTCATAGTAGCGTTTCTTTCACGTCTGAATTCAAGATGAATTGCATTATAAACATTTTATCTCCAAGAAATAAAAATCGGTCTATGAATTTCAAAAAATGAAATATTTTATTCTTCTATTCGTGCAACTATCGTTCGAGTAGAATACATCATCATCTGATGATAGTACACTGTATGAAGCATTGACACTACTACTCATAGTTCACATAAATATATTCGATTAGAAAATTTTGTTTGCTTAGATGTCCCCTAAATATCGCTGATGCTCAGTATCTATGAAATATGCTCTACAGGTATATATTATGACACAGTACACGTCCATTAATCTAACAGAAAAACAATTTGTGCATAAAAATCTTTTTTTATTAAATCTCTCATTGCTTCAATGCATATTAATTGATTTTTCACTTGCTTCCTATTTTCTATTTAATCTAGAACTCTAACACAACGTCAAATCTGTCTGATTGTGTTAGTAGCTGGTATTATAGCTGCTGTTTTAGCTGCAATTACCGCTATTGTACTTGTTTTCACATTACGTAAGTAATAGTTTTATACTATCCGTAATTATTGACTTTGTCGAATAAACTAAATTTGTATTACAAATCTTTATTAGCATCAAAAACGACTACGACATCAACAACCACGACATCAAGTAAGTTTATATTTGAAATGCATTTTGCAATGATCAATTTGATTGTACGATAGCAGATTTTCCTCCGTGATTAAGTATCCTTTTGAACAATTAGATATTTGCCAATTTTGATCCCAACAAAAAGCAAGTCAAATGAGTATCTTGCTTTATCACTCAGAGAATACAGAGCTGCTTTTCTTATTTTCTGATATCAGTCATCAAACTAAAAAGTTGAACTTTGAATCTGCCGTTATTTGCCTATATTGAAGTTTACATTTCTATTTTTGCAGCTAGTACAACCACTACAACTACCACAACTACTACAAGTACAACTACCACAACTACTACAAGTACAACAACAACATCAGCAACAAGTAAGTACTCATGTTTATCTAGAAAAAATTCTCTTAAAAGCGATCAACGATTTACTAGCAACGGTATGTTCAAATGCTGGCCGTGGCAATTTAGGTCTACTAACTGGATATGCTGCATCTAGTTGGACTCAATATTCGACTAGTTTCACAGCAACACTATCAAGGTATGCTCTTGTATTCGGCTTTCAAGCAAATGTGAATCGGTCTTGGATTTTGGATGATATATCTCTTATTAAAAATAGCGCTCCTGCTATTGAAATACTTCTCAATCCAAATTTTGAAAACTCGAGTGCATCAATTATCGATTGGGTACTTTGGTGTTCATCATATTGCCACTTTGGTACCAGTGGAGAGCTTCTAACCGGTGCAGCTTGTTACTTGGGAATTGGCAATTGTTTCACAAGTGCTTGTCTTGGGCCTGATGTTGAGTTTTTAGGTCAATATTTTTCAGCTTCCATTGGCTCAAGTTACACGCTAACGTTTCGGCTATCACTGACGGGCGCAAGTGATGTCTCTTCTACTATGTTCTATGTTGATATACTTCCTTGATAATGAGCTGTCATATGAGAACATTATTTTTTATGATTTGAGCGTCGGTTTTTTCTCCTTTGATTTGATTTATTGTATTTATAGCTGTCATTAGCAACGCCTGTAAATACATAATAAATTTTGAACCTGAATGAAAAGAAAATGCTGTTTTTCTTGTTATCATCACACTGCAGAAATATATTTGGTTTGACTGGATGAAATTCTATTATAATTGATTCGTTTTTATCTAAACTTGAAAAGGTTACCTTTCATTTTTTTTTCTTCTAAAATTCTGTTTTCATTGCTCGATGCTTTCGATGTATTTTATTAAGCAGAATTGACCTGTAAATTCATGGAGCATCTCATTCTATTGCAATATGACTTTGTTTTTCAATAAATACAAATAATATCGAGCGAAATACTGTCTAATAGATCAATGAAGGACGTCCGAGAAATATCGCAAACTCTGAATTGAATTTGGTCTTACACCGATAAATGCTACCAACGTTTCAAGATGTTACGGTAAGTTGATATTTTCACAGTGAGTGTGCATTTCGTATAGAATAATCAAACCTCTACTATTCTTAGAGAAGCAACAAGATAGATTTCAATGGTTTCAAAATACTATTCGATCATTCGCTACTGTAAAATGAAAGCACTGGCAAGGATTTTTATCTATGTATAACAAACAATTAGGTTACGAGCATTCGGAGTATACTTTTGCTTCCGTATTATAACTAAGTTTCAACATATGAAAATGTTTCTTTTTCTCCTGTGAATTTCTATTATTGCCTAGCCGTATACAATACAGACACATCATAAAAGTGTAATTTCAGTCTTTTTGAATGCACGTACGAATTATTAGATGATTCTACGTATTATTGATTTGGGATATTTATAGATTCAAACATATGCAAGTAATGTCAAATTCGCTTCACGAAATAAAACAACAAAAAACAAAGAAATCCTATAAAAATGTAAAAAGCATTGGCATAATTGTGTAATCAAATTTTTTTCTCTTTCTCTTTGAATCTTATTGCAATTAGAAAATATTTAATGGATGGACGCATTTCCCAAAGTTAAAGCTGTATTGCAAATTTCATTCAAAACAATTTCGATAGATCCTTTTTTTCTCTATGTGATAAATTTTTTTTTCTGTACATTCATGATTTTTCGTCTAATTAAAAAAAGTAAGCACTTCAAATGGTAATATAACTATACAAATATAATCGGACAAGCAACAATAGAAAAGTGATTCGAAAAAAAGAAAAGAATTGCTTTGCCATTGTCTTAATGCAGTAAATTAAAATCAAGAACAGGGTTATATATTCCAGAGAACGTATGTGCTTTACTTTGTATTCGACTGAATCATAACAAGAAACGAAACCTCTATTTTTCTTTACTTGAAGAAAAAATAAAATCGAAATTTTCTAATGATAAAAAACACCATTGTTCGGCATCAAAACATTGTTTCTTAAGAGTATGAAAACTATGGCGAAACCATCGCAAGATTCAAAACAGCTTCCACAAGTTCGTATTATACGTGGCAATCGACCTGACGGATATCCAAAATTATTTGATGAACGGGTTGATTCTCCTATTCGATCTGTCAGTATCAACAAAAAAGAATATATTCAATGAAAAAACAGTATTTTGTTTTGTTTTCTTCAGTCCGTTGATAGTTGGTTGAGTAGTGCTCCGAGTATACAACCGTCAAAACCTAAACCAATAACAAAAAAAGTTGATAAGCCGCAACCAATTGCTGAAGATGACGAGACGTAAGTAAAATACCAAAGTTCTTAAAAATATAGAAAGAATATTGTATACATAAAATATCTTGAAGTCTTTCTTCTTCTTATTTTCTAGAGAAAATGACCCGATGAGAAAATGGATTATCGTTGCTATTGTTATTTTTGCAGTTTTGACAGTATTTTCAATAGTTGGTATTGTCTTATCTGTTGTATTTCGTCAGTAATCATTCATATTAATTAATTAATTAATTGTATTATAAGTTTTTCAAAAATCGATGACATAGACCACCATGTGATTCATATTATTGTTCAATATACCAATACTCATGAATTATTTTATTTATCTTCTAAAGATTTGCTTAGGATTAAAAAATAAATAAATGTACAAATGTCATCATATACTCTAATTTACAGATTGAATAAAAAAGATTAACTGATAAATATACTCATTCGTTGAATATTTTTGATTCTTGAAAAATTCTCATGAGGAATGTAGTTTATAGGCGTTTTGTTACTAGTAATAAAGCAGGCAACTTATTGATATTTACTCGTACTATAAGTAATGAAACTATTGTTTATTTCTTGTGAAAGACATTCGACGGCATTTCAACTTTTTCATTTTTACTATCGAAATTAAAATCGAAAGAAAATAAAGTAACAAGTGACACAGAATAAATAAGAGTATTCTCATTATTAATATTACTTCTCTATTCTTTATATGATTAAAGCACTTTCTGGCAATTGAAATAATGTGATTGCGACTTAGCACAAAAACGCAACACTTTATTTGATGAACACAGTTTCCTCCATTTTTTCTCATCAATTAAACATAATCATGCAATAGAATTAAGTAGAAAATTTCAATTATTTCTCTTTGTCAATTTTTGCTGGCACAAATGTTGGCATTTGTTTATCAATGTCGATTTCGGTATCATGCGTTTTTGATGATTAAGTTCATTCTATCAATTATAACCGAAAAAATTTCAATGAAACACATTTAGTTACTTCTATTTATGCATGAATAAAAATAGATACAGTGCATCATAGTAGTCGAGCTACTTTTTTTCTTAATAGTCAGTCACATTTAACTCTTTAACCTTGTGTCATGGGATAAAAACAGTAAACTTTTTGTTTTAACAAAAGTCAGTTTTCTATCTTACATTCCTAGCGTGAAAAAGAATATGCCATTTGATCCTTGAAAGATTCACTTTTGTTCGAAATGTGCGTGTACGATCACAATAGCGCAATAAAATGAAACAAAGAGTTTTTGTTCGTTATTTGAATACGTGATTTGATTTTTCTAATGGAACTTTTTTCGGTCGAAGTGGTCTGTTTTTCGTCGGACTCATTCTCATTTTCATATTTGTTTATAATGGCTATTGATAGAAAACAGATGTCATGATCTTTCCGACATGAAAATAAATCTCTTTTTCTTCAGTCGAGCTTCAATGCATTATTTATTTTGCTGCTCACCTATTCTTACAAATTCATTTGGAATTCTGGTGACTTTACCAGAAATCTTTTTGTGGCATTCTTGGGTAAGTTTTATTTTTCTTGTCAACTATCATGGGAGTATTTAAAGAGTTGACACTGTTTTAATATTATTAGTATTATTTAGATTATGAAAAATAAATATTCTTTAGATCAAATAATATCAATTCACTATGATAAATTAGTGTCACTAAACTTTCTTTTTATCGATAATTAACTTTACTACATTGTTTTATATAGGTATCAAAAATAAAAGTAGCTATATGAAAATAAATTCTACGTGAATTTGAACTTTTATTTTATAGAACGATTGGTCTATTTTCTTGAACACTTCTCGTCATTGATGATTTCACTACATTTTGCCTTAATATTCTATTTTATATTGACAGAATATCCATGGTTCATTGTAATAACTATTTTATTGACTGTAATCGTTTTAATGCTTTTAATTGAAGATTTTCATTAAGATAAATAATAAATTCAATTTTTAATTCTTCATTTTATTTTGTATATTCTTTTGGAATATAATCTAACCTTTCCTAAGCCTAAAATAGTATATGCTTGTTTCACAAGTGACCAATCATTATATAATCATTCATATAGATCGTATCACAACAGAATCACGACTACAATACGATGACATCATAAATTTGATTACAATATTATAATATTGTATCGGTTTAGAAGTGCTAACTTTTTATTTGTTCATATGTATTATAGTAATGAATAAATGTGATTAAAAAGAAAAATCGAGTCACGCGTTACTCTGGAGAGTATCTGTATGATTTGCTTTCCACACTAGTTCATTTGATAGATCTAGAACTAAGTGTGAAATGAACATTTTGTGTACGATTTTTTTCTTGTTGCTTCTATGGCCAGCAAATGGAAGTGTACCTTCGCTATTTCGATCCTCAGGTAGGAAAAAAAAATTGTTGAAATTTTTCTGTATCGAATAAAATAAATAATTATTTTCTTTTTAAGAACTACTGTTGATAAATAAAGATTGGATTGTGGAACAAATTAAGATAGTGCCAATCGATGCTGGTGACTTAAAACATAGAAACAAATATAAATCATATATGGTTTATCGTCAAAATTCATTTGAAAATTTAACATCATTCATTCTCGATCTTAAATTAAATAAAAATTTCAATTCGCATATTCCTATCGAATACGATAATAATCGTATCAAGACGAACAAAAACGATTGTTTATTTTATACGGGATCTGTACGACATTGGGGAAAATTACAATCAATGGTTGCAATTTCGCATTGTTCTGGTTTAGTAAGTTTTGTAATCATCTTCTTGTTTTTGAATGTTTTTTATTGAAAATTTTAGGCTGGTCTAATTCACGATACTCGACATGGTATTGACTATTTTTTAGAGCCGGTTGTTAATGAAAATGAACAATCATATATTCTTACTTATCAACAAAAATCTTCATCAAATCAAAGTCGCATTTGGTCGTGCGAAATAGATTCATCAGAAACAATAATAAACAATCATACATTTAAACATAATCGACCGCGTCGCTCAATTATTCGTGAACGTTTTGTTGAAACATTACTTGTGGCTGATTCAAGTGTAACTGAATTTTTTTCTCATTCTCACATAACTGAATTATATTTACTTACTATGATGAATATGGTACATAGTATTTATGCTCATGTTAGTCTTGGTTATCCCGTTGAAATTGTTCTCACACGAATAATTATGCTTAGTAATGAAGTAAGAAAAATTAAGTCTCAAGCGACTTTTCTTTTTCTAGTGTATATTCATAGTCGGATTTTCAAATGGCATCAAAATCACATGAAACATTACATAAATTTTGTGAATGGCAAGAAAAACTCAAGAAAACGAATAAAACAAATCGAACTAATCAACATGACGTTGCTGTTTTTCTTACAAGGTAATAGAAAATTACATTTATTGTTTAAACATTTCTGATCGCTTAATTAAATCGAATGTTCAATGAACATTTTAGAAAATCATTATGCCAGGACCATTCACCTTGCTCAACGATTGGTCTTGCTAATATGGCTGGCATGTGTATGGTTAATCGAAGTTGTAATATCAATCAAGATGTTGGTCTTATTTCAGCTTTTACTATTGCACACGAAATAGGGCATAAGTAATGCTTTACTTTATTGTAAGATATATTTATCTAAATATTCTATTGATTAATTTAGTCTTGGAATGAGTCACGACAATGGTAAAGGTCATTGTGCGTCAGAATCATCGTCATCAAATAGTGATACAATAATGGTACCTAGCTATGCTAAAGTACCGATTAACATGTGGTCTCAATGTAGTCGAGATACTCTAACAGATTTTTTCGAGTAAATTAAATGAGATAACGAATAAATTAAAATATTGTTGTTTTTTTACTAAATTTTAGTCACGGCTGGGCGAAATGTTTGAATAATAAACCAACAACAATGCAGCCATTTGACGATATATTACCCGGTATAATATTTGATCTTGATGAGCAATGTCGTCTTGCTATGGGACCTCATTCTACTTATTGTTTTCTTGGGGATGAACCACCTATGGTATGAAAAATTTATTGCCTATTTTCTTAACAATTACTTTATTAATTGAATAAGGATGTATGCAATCACATGATGTGCACAAAGATACACGAAAGCCGATCTATATGTCTACCATCCATGGCGAGTCAACCGGCTGATGGAACATTGTGCGGCCAAAATAAAGTAAAAATAAATAAACATTTTTTACCTTTTCGTCCCTATGCAATATTCGATTGCGTTACTATTGAGCCAATCATTAGCTTAACTTATGTAGGCGCTGATTATAGTATCACTTTAATTCGAATCGAATCGAGTCATTTCACTTTTTAAAATGTTCAATGGGTCGAAATTGTCAAATAGAATTGAATATTTTGTTAATTTAGTTTTAACTGCATAGACTGCAAATTCTTTTTATTGATAAGAAGATATTTTTAAAACGTCATTGAACTGTGTTTCGAATTATTATTATTCGTTCGAACGATCGTGTTACTCACGAAGATCGAGCCAAAAATTATTTACGTTGCCAAGGAAAATGTTGGTTTCAAATGAGATATTGAGATATTTTTAAAGAACTAGTAACATTGAAATGAATCAGCCAGTAGAAATAAATCAAATAGAAAATAATGGTTTTTCATCTCACGATTTCTCTTGTAAGAAATAATAAACAAGGATTTATTGACAACTGTAAAAAAAAAAGGCATAAGTACGAAACATAAACTAAAATTATCAAATCGATTTAGTGGTGTTTAAATGGTCGATGTACTCCGATGAATTATCGAGCCGAAACTCCATCAGTTAACGGTGGTTGGAGTCCATGGACACCTTGGAGTTCTTGTTCGCATACATGTGGATTAGGTGTTGAATATCAACAAAGAACATGTACACATCCAAAGTAGAAAACATATAAAACATATGATAATCGAAACGTTTTTATTGTTATTTTTTCTCCTTATTATTGTTTAGACCAGATTTTGGTGGTAAACATTGTTTAGGCGTACGCAAACGATATCGAACTTGTCAAATTTCGGTACAAGACTAACATTTTTTCTTATTTTTACCCTTATAAAAATGTATACATTCATTTGAAATAGTCTTGCAAAACATCGGCTATTAACTATAAACATGAATCTCAATTAAATTGTGATGAATTAAATTCAAAATCAAATGGAACAAAATGGAAAACGGTACCATGGTTTACTTCCGAACCTTGCATGGTTTTTTGTACGCCAACTATATCATCATTGACTTCAGATAATGAAACAATAATACAATCTAATATAACATTGGCCGATGATGAAGTTGGAAAAGTTGAATCAATTAAATTTCGTGATGGAACACAATGCACCATCGATGATGATGATAATCAAAATGAAAATTCTATACCATCTAGTGGAATGTGCATTGCTGGACAATGTCAAGTCAGTTTCTATTCGTCAATAAAATGCAATATAGATTTATATAAGAGAAAAGTTTAAAATTTTAGAAATTAGGATGCGATAATCAATTGTATTCGACAGCTATTGACGATGAATGTAGTATATGCAATGGAAATCGAAGTCATTGTCAACAAGTAACAAAAATAGTTCAATATAAAAGAAATGCAACAACACCAGCCGGCTCGTACGTTAAAATAGGCAGTATACCGAAACGAATAGCAACATTTCAAATCGAAAAAGCGACTCAGTCAAGTAGTTTTTTGGCAATTCAGATAAAAGGTTCGGTTTTCCATATCAAAATAAAAAATACGAATATCTTACTGAGTTATTTAATTATGTAGATCGATTTTATTTGAATGGAAATCGTTTGATAACTGAACAGAATAACTTTCAAATTGGAAAAACTCGAATATCGTATAAACGTGGAGTAAAACAAGAAATTCTTACAGGTCGTGGATATCCATTAATTGAACAGCTTGATATTATGTTACTTATTCTTAATAATGATTTAATTAAAATTAACTGTATCTATTGGGAATCAATTAATAAAACAAAACTTTTAAATAATCACTATACGTGGACATTTGAAAATGAAACAAACGATGATTGTTCATGTACTGTTCGACAACCGCATTGTACTTTTAAATCACAACACAACGAAATAATTGTTGTTTCTGATCAATTATGTGATTCTAAATCAAAGCCTCGCCCATTAAAATGTCAGAATACGAACTGTCCATTGCAAATGCCTTGGGCTCCTCGTTGGCAAGTAGGTTCATGGCGATTGTGCGAAGGCCGTTGTTGGCCTCAAGAAGCTGTACAACGACGAAGTCTACTTTGTGTACGAACTATATCAAATAATAAGACACATACAATACCTTCAAGTATATGTACACAGAGACTTTCTTCTATGCCTATTATTGTAAGAGAATGCCCTCAAAATATGTCATCAACACTACCGAAATGTAGCAAAATGAAAACATATAGTCAATGGACTACAAGCGAATGGACTGGAGTAAGTGTTCGGGTGTTTTTTTTTATTTTAGAAAAAGTATGATATGCAAAAAGAAAAACGATTTCTATAGAATTGCTCTTCGTCAAATCCATGTGCTATGCAATATCGAACTGTAACATGCATGCCGTATGATCTGAATTCGGTTTGTACTGCTGATGAAAAATTAAAACCAATTGATCGTCGACCATGTAACGCTACATGCGGTCATTGGCTCGTCTCTCATTGGTCAGATAATGTAAGTTTATTTACAAACAAGAATTGTCAAAGCCGTCGTTAGAAACGTCATTAACTAGTTATATTCAAAGTAGTTCTTGAAAATGTTTGTTTTTACATGTAGAAAATGTGAACATAGTGAATTGATTTGCTCTCTCTAAAACTAAGGAGAAGAAAATGACGTAACTGATCAAATATATCAGTTGATAGCTTGATATGGTGTCGATTGAGCGAAAATCATAATAGCGAAAGGTATTTTCAGCGAAAAACAAAGCGCGAAAATTATAATAGCGAAAAAAATGAGCGAAAATAAAAAGTGCGCAAAGTAAAATAGCGAAAACTCGAAGTTTTTTTATTAGCAAAAAGAGCGGCTGTAGAAATTAGAGAAATTTTTTCTTGATAAGATTTGATTGTTTGTTTGACGATGAATCATCATGCGGATGTGTCTGCATATATGACCGCATTTGTCGGTTTCACTCTTATCAACGTGTTAATCTATTATATTCTTTTTTATTCGATATATATAATCGTCCGTAATTGATGTTACATACAGGGACGGCGCGAACGGGGGGGGTTGGGGGGGGTTTCCCCCTCCAACTTTGGAAATTTTTGTTTCAATTTTTGAAAAAACCTCTCGTTTTTGAAAAAAAACCTCCCGTTTTTGAAAAAAACCTCCCGTTTTTGAAAAAAAACCTCCCGTTTTCAAGTAACCCCCCTATACTTTTATTACTTCGCGCCGTCTCTGGTTACATAGTTCATTCATTTAGTTCATTTCACTCACCAGTGATGCTTGACTCGAGAATACTCTCTTTTACCACTTCAAATCGAGGGAAACGAATGCTTATTTATTCAGGATATGTTTATCGACTAAAACAGTTCACAAAAAAATGTTAAGTACTGGGTTTGTCAATCAAATAGCTGTGCAGCGAATGTCAAGTTAAACTGAAGATTACTCTATTTTAAACTTCTCTGTTTTACCCTTCACAATTCGCTCAAAATATGTTTTCGCCAAAGGATATTTTCGCTATTTTATTCGCTCAAAAATTTTCGCTCAAAATTTTTCGCTTAAACGTTTTTTGCTGATTTGCCACCATACCGATAGCTTCTTTCATGGATAAAAAAAATTTGTACACCCAGGTATTTTAAATCAAAAATAGTCATTCGGGAGTAAACAATTAGAAACGAGACATTCTATTAAATAATGCAGTTGCTATTCTCATTATTCACATGCTATTCTACAGATTCAAGGAATGAAACACTTGAAATTTTAATTACGATTGTAAAAGAAATATAAATAAATGTGAAAGTACATATTTCATAAAGCTTTCCGGTATTCGTTTAGCGTAGCGCCAACGCTCTTCGAACTGAAAGAAAACAAATGAAAGTCAAATACATTATATCTATAATAGAGCCATTTCAATAAATACATCATAGAAACTTTTGGCGAAATTTCAAAGTTTATGAAGCCAGAATATCATTATAAGCGTAAGTCATGTACTCATCTTAACATACGAAACAGTACCGATGATATATGAATAAATGAATCAAAAACAAAATTGCGAAACAACTCAAGTGATAGAATAATACAGAAGTAAAAAAATGTAGGAAGTTAATTTTTGATTGCCCGGAGATTATCAAAATTCTGAACTAGTAGATATTATATGAATTTCTATAGTTATGAGCAAAGCGGCATGTAGCAACAACACAACAAAATTTAATCTTGAAAGTTGTTATTTGTAAAATAAATGAGAGTATCAGTAGGCAGCCAACGTACCTATGTACAAGACGGAATCGAAGTGTTTAAGTAGGAATCTAATTATCATTAGATAATCATTTAACATGTTCAAAAGATTTCGATCCATGGAAAACTAAAATCTCTTTTTCGTCTACAAAATGATTTTGAAAGATAATTAAAGTAATCATCACTTATTCAAAATTGAATATTATCTTTTAAAACGACAAAATAATGATTCTATTGTTTCATACGACTATTCGAATATTGACCTAACAAATTCCATTCTCTGTATTATTTTGTCAAACTGACTACTTATTTATCTATTCTAAAGTGTACTGGGCCATGTGATAATGCAACATTAACGCGACAAGTCTGGTGTAGTACATCCATATGTAATCAATATGAACGGCCACTGTCAACGCGTCGTTGCATTCTATCAGACTGTACGAACGGATCACTTTATAAGAAACTAACCACAACTTCAACTACGCAAACAATGAATTCCACTGTAAAAATTACTAAGCCTCAATCGAATTCTACAATTTCACCTATTCGTACATCGAAAATTGTGAGTACGTCTAGTAAAATATTTTTGACAACAAAACTATTTAAAACAACTATGCAATCGCCAAAGACAAGCGCAACGGCAAAAACTACTACTACAATTCAGAAAAACATTTCTACAAAAATATCAACGGCAATGTCTACTCCTACGAAACAGATAATTTCTACAACAAAAACTACAGAAAAAACTGTTTTAACAACAAAACAAACTACTACTACCACTACTAAGAAAAAAACTGTCAAGAAAACAAGAGAAGCCAATATTCAACAAGATGATACAAATAGGAACAGTGCATAACGTACTGATTCCATTTAAATAGCATATCTACTTGTATGTGTTTTACAGTCAATTTCATCTTTTATCTAATACACTTAACATTTTTATTGATTCAATAAATTGTATCAGTTGATTTGAACGTAGATCTCTATTGTTTGCTAGCAATATTCATATGATATCAATATATATATAGTTATTTTGCACACGAGGGGTTTTCTAAGAACAACATGCATAAATTTGAACACTAAAATATTATTCACAAATATCATAAACTTATAAAAGGTACGAGAGTGCGTTGATGCAGGCATAGATGTAATTGGTAAGTTCGATGCTATTAAGTGAACACCATTACAGACAATCACACTCGGCATGAGTATATGCATAAAGATCCTCCATGGATTGAGATGAACCACGTGCTTTATCATCTTAATAGTGAAATCACGCTTGACGATTAAAAACGACTGCGAGTCTATAACTAAGCTGATCCAAAAACAAAAAGTTTGCAGAGAACAATCTCAGATATGGTATCAATGAACATGAAAATTATACCTTCTCGGTTGGCACAAATCTCTAAAATATTAGATACGCGAGTTTAAGACTGCATAAGATGCCCAAAAACATCTTGATTCGGATCGAAAATCTAAATCCTTGTTTCACAAATCTTCAGTTCCACAAATAGTTGAACTAATTATCGACTAGCTTTGAATATACAAAAATACGTTCTATCTAATCACATTGTTTTGTTTAACAATGAAAATTGAATCTAATTATCAGATATAGATGGAATCGTTTCAAGATTCATGCTGCCCTATCAGCGATTCAAACAATGAAAAGACACATTGCTCACGATGAAAGCCACAAACTATGTGATTCACACATGCTACGACAAACGTTTTAATAAAAAATAAAAAAACTGAAAGCGCTTCATCAACATGAGTGAATGTCTTTTGTTGAAATTAGTGGATATGTATCTCTTCGATGTGTGGATGAGATGACCAGCAGAAACTGTTTCTTCTATATACTGTAGTCAACATATTCTAACCTATAAACTGATGATAGCTCCCCGCTTGAAATATGACCATTGTGATCGAAAACCTTTACGACAATGACGTAAATGCCATTTTCGGAATTGTGAATCAAATTAGGCAGAAAAAGATTAACTCATTTCATCGATTCACTCAATATTTTAGTTCTAATGAGAAATACCCATGATGTTCTTCTTGGTATCAAACTGACAGTTTACTTCTGAATTTGATTTATACAAGAAATAAACAGAAAATAATAATAGTAGTCAACAGGTTGTTACTTGAAACCTATTCAATTGGAGCCGAATGCAATATTAAAATGCGAGTGACAAAAACAAATTCTACAATAGGGCGTGACTTTCCTCGTATTTCCTGTAGAAAACACGGATGTATCAATTTACTATTTCTAGTACCCCCTGTTACAACATATTTTTTGCCTCAGGAGTATTAACACAGCACATATAGAATCGAAGTAAAATTTGATTACATCATGCTGAACACGACAGTATTGGGTACGCTTACCATTAAAATAATGACAAAAATTACGCTTGAAATTCACAATAACATATAAACTGCAGTGATAACTAGAAGAAATTATCAAAATCTAATCATGCAAAATACAGGTAACAGCCGTGTAGTCCCAACTGTCTTACCTACTAAACAAGAAGCTAGACTAGATTTAACAAAACCTCGACGTCTCGCCATCATTAGAGACTTTGCCCTCAATACCTCCACTCATGGATTACCAGGAATTGCACGTAGTCAAAGTAAACATAACTGCATCTTTTGGACTATTTCATTTCTCATCTTTACTGGCGTTATGATCTATTTTGTTACTCGGTCGATTCAAAATTATTTTCAATATCCAACACAAACATCTGTATCAATTTTCGTCGAACGATCACAAGTATTTCCTGCAGTTACATTTTGTAATTATTCACCAGCTCGTTTTGATCGCTTAGCAGGACCTTTTCTTAACTATTTAAATTCAATCAACGCAACCAATACAAAGGATACAGAAACATTTACTCGAGAACAATATTTTCTACTCAGTAGTTATTTTCAACATCTAGTCAATACAGGTCAATCTATTTCCGAGTACTTTTTCTCTCTTGATATAATGCTAATAGAATGTGTCTATAATACAAAAACATGTACACATGATGATTTCATAAGTTTTATTTCGTCTGCATACGGTAAATGCTATACATTCAATGCAAAATCAAAATCAACAAATGGAACTAGTCTTCGCTATACTAATGATAATGGGGGATCGGGAAAGCTCATCCTACGCCTTTATGCACAAAGTCATTTATATTCTCCACACATTAACGAGGGTTTGTTTTACTCATAGATCTCATTCAATACCTTTATCTGTTTTCTTATAAGTAGATGTATCAGCAGGTATGGTGACTATGATCCATGACAATACACAATTACCTCTCATCAATGTAGCAGGTATTCTACTTACGCCTGGGCGAAAACATAAACTAGGATATAAGAAAAAGCAATATACGTTTCTACCATCACCATATACATATTGTACAACTAATATACCACGCCCGATGCGAGCAATGTTCGATCAATACGAAGGCGCTGATTATGCATATTCACAAGGTGTTTGTTATACACTTTGTACACAGGCATACATGTAAGTTTACTTTTATTAAGATCCGACATGTGCTTACTGGTAAAAGATTTAGTAGCAATGGGTTTCATTTTCAGTCAGTAACTTATCCAGATGATGGATTCGTATTGAGAAAAAAACAATAACAAGAGCACGAGATGAAAATTATGCTACTGGTAGTTTTGGTTCTGTTATTCGAAGACATAAGAAGATTTATATTCAAGAGCTGTCAGCACGGTTACAATAGATATCATGGGACGTTTCTCATACACCTGATTAAATTCTATTCAAGGAAGAATAATAAAAGGAATTGAAAGCTGAAATGATGTTCTTGTGAGTGAACAAAGCATACAGCGTACAATAATCTGCATTAGATATTTCGTAATAGTCAACTTCATGAAAAGAGAGAGAGAGAGAGAGAGAGAGAGAAAGAGAGTTATTTAATTCATGCAGCGTTTCATTCTAATTTGAACTGATTTTTTCCTGACCACTCAACGCTATTTTAGGACATAATATTGGATAAAAAAAATTGACCTAGTACAGATTTTTCTCCATCAAGAAATAACCTTCTTTATCACCAATGGTTATTCCGTATAATATACTCAACTATTTTTTCTAATAGTTATGAACAATGCGGATGTGTCAGTCCTTATGAATGGTCAGCTCGATCAATTGTTTTGCCTGGAACAAATAAAATAGCTGAAGCACCGCTTTGTAACTTAACTGATGTATGTTATACCGTTGCCGGTCTTAAAATCACAAAAATATCATCAATATGGGATCAATATTGTTCACATTGCCACCAAGAGTGTTCAACAGTTACCTTTGCTCTAATGAAATCCTCAATAGCAGCGCCGTCGATGCCATTTATATTTGCTACGAAAGCACATATCGAATCTTTGCCTATACCATTACCAGCGAATTGGTCCACAAATTGGTTATCTGAAATACAGAATAATTATGTTTCACTCGAAGTTGTATGTGAATCTAATCAAGTAGAGAACTACACGGAAGAAGCCTCAGTGACTGCAGTCAGTGTTCTTTCAAGTGTCGGTGGTCATACAGGATTGTGGATTGGAATAAGTTTCTTATCGATCATGGAATTTATTGAAATGCTCTATCGTCTTTGTCGATATGAATTCCATAGTATGCAACAAATTCCAAGGAACAGATTTAACAATAACAATTGATAAGCTGTCTAACTACGTACAGCTTTATTTTTACTATTTCTATGAGATTTTAACAAATAATATTTTCGAAATGCAATGAATAAATAGTGAAAACCGGAGATGCAACCTGTCCATTATTCGTTGTTAATAGGAACAATCCATATATAAACGACTTTATAAGATTACAATCAATAGTAATTTTGAATAATTATATAGCTACAATAAAATAAGGAAAATAAGCAAGCTAAACCGCCTACAGAAAGATTAGCCAGTTTGCAATCTGTACCGGAGCCGAGTCTATCTCTAGCGTAAGTTTCATATCAGTGTGAAGATCGAAGAATATGTTTCGCTGCACTATAAATTTAATGCATTATCCAAAAAACAATAAAAAAGAAGATTTCCTTGCTTTCATTAGCATTATACTTATTCAAGCACTGACAGCCCGAAATCAGATTATTTTGAGTATAGATCGAAGGTGAAGATAATTAACGCAAAATAATCAGAGCTAAAGGTTATTGTTGAACACTCCACGGCTTGTGATTGGCCGGATGATATGTCATAGGTACTAGAAAAATAAAAGGAAAAGGTAAAAAAAGAATCTTAGATGTGATATCAATTTACTCCCCAATAGTATATACAAATTGTTTGCTCAGTTAAGTAAAATTTTTTCAGCAAAAATAAATGTTCACTAAAGTTGACATGTAATCATCAAAAAAAAACTTTTTTGTTAGGTTAATGCATGGAAATTAGACGAAAAACATCGTCATGGTAAAATTATTCTTACAGAGTAATTTGGAACGAAAACAGTGAATACGTGCAAGTTTTCTTGCAAGATGTTCTAGTGAAGTTGTTTCTATTTTTCACTTGCTGCGTCTTCTGAATTCTTTTCTGTTTGGCACTTTCTAGTGAAGTTCTTACTTCCCTCATTTCGGTTTATCTGTATACCACTGAAAATTTATTTTGAATTAATAATTTTCCAAGCTTCTTCAAAGAAGACATTTGCAAACATATTATGGCCATGGTTATTTGGTTGAAGTTTTGAAAATCGCCTCCGTCAGCAAACGATATAATTACCTTTATGTAAAAACAGAGAACAAAGGCGACCATGAAAAACAACAACAGTTCTATACATATAATAACTGCACAATTCAATTTTTCACCAAGATATTCATATCACTTCATTTCACAATATTCGTTAATGCACGAATAGAAAATCAAACTATTTTTACTGAGAATTGCTTTCAATAAATTGGTTAGCGATGATTTTATTTTTCACTTAACTTTTATTTAAAATTACCCAGTACTTAAATAGTAATCAAATAATATTACAAGTGAAAGCTGCCGTAAACACTCATTATCTTCAATGAGCAATTCGATCAATGAGAGCTACGAAACTGTGATAAACGTGATATAATTTTGAGCTTTTCTAATAAATAAAACGTTCTCTGCAACTAAATAGCTCAAAGCACTCTATCCACAATATTGGGAATGTTTTCTTTTGAAAAAAAATGAATCAAACTCTTCGATAAAATCCCAGAAATGAACAAAAATCTTCTCTTTCTTTCAGTCGAACCACAATTTCTGAATTTTAATATGCAATACTTTAATATGAAATAAGACCATTATTGTTAGAGAATGTTTCTCTCGGAGAAGAAATTAATGACACTCACATTTGTGCATAGAATTAGCGAGAAAGTCTGTTCTTCATGTCACCTGTATAATTATTTTTTCACCTCTAATAACAAAATGTTTCACTGTTTCATCTTGATGTCAAACTGACAACTACTTCCGACATTCATCAATGCTTGAACTAATCAGAAAATTAATGAAACTAGTTCAAAAATGGCTGTTAGAAAATGTTCCATCGGAAATGAAAGTAATATTGAAACGAGATTCACTGAAATCTAGTCCTAAAAAAATTCAGTAAGCTTCCATCCATTTCTAAAAAAAGAAAGAGCTGTGACAATTTGTTATTCCTTTTCATCGTTTTCCAAAGTTTTTTCTACAGAAAAGTTTCAAATTACACAAAATTGTTTTTTCTACTTCAATAAGCAAAATTTTATCACGCTCACCACCACAGTATGATCTTAACTTGCTGTTGAAACCAAGTCAACATCTACTCTTGGAATGCGCAACACAATAGAAGCTCTAGTTTTGAGTTCACGAAATTATGAAACCTAAACAATGACAAATACAAATAACAACCGTGTAGTTCCAACTCAATCTATGACAAAAGAAGCATGGACAACAGCATCTCCGAGACCACAACGACGCTCCATCATTAGAGAATTCGCTGTCTATACCTCCACTGATGGTCTACCAGGAATTGCACGTAGTCAAAGTAAACATAACTGCATCTTTTGGACTATTTCATTTCTCATCTTTACTGGTGTTATGATCATTTTGTTACACGATCGATTCAAAACTTTTTTCAATATCCAACACTAACATCTGTATCAATTTTCGTCGAACGATCACAAGTATTTCCTGCAGTTGCATTTTGTAATTATTCACCAGCTCGTTTTGATCGCTTAGCAGGACCTTTTCTTAACTATTTAAATTCAATCAACGCAACCAATACAAAGGATACAGAAACACTTACTCGAGAACAAGCTACTTTACTTCGTGATTATTTACAATATCGACTTAATACTGATCAATCTGTTGCTGAATATTTTCTCTCTCTTGATACAATGCTAATAGAATATTTTTACAACGATCAAGCATGTACTGACAATGATTTTATTTCGTTTTTGTCATCTAACTACGGTCAATGCTATACGTTTAATGCAAAAAATTAATAAATGGAACTAGTCTTCGCTATACTAATGATAATGAAGGATCGTGAAAGCTCATCCTATGCCTTTATGCACAAAGTCATTTATATTCTCCACACATTAACGAGGGTTTGTTTTACTCATAGATCTCATTCAATACCTTTATCTGTTTTCTTATAAGTAGATGTATCAGCAGGTATGGTCGTTATGATTCATGATAATACACAATTACATCTCATTGATATATCAGGCATTCTTCTTGCACATGGACGAAAACATAAACTAAGATATAAGAAAAAGTAATATCAGTTCTTATCAACGCCATATACGGAGTGTACAACTGGTATACCACCTGCCATGCAAACAATGTTCGATCAGTATGAAGGTGCTGAGTATGCTTATTCACAAAGTACTTGTTACACGCTTTGCACACAGACATACATGTAAGTTTAGTATTATGTTGGAATTATGTAACGCCCATGATTAGTATACAGAGAATTACTCGTCTTTGAATGTACTCATGATCCGGTATGAGCGAATCCGAAAATTTATCCGAAGTTATTTTCTCTTCAAGTTAGTAACTGACTGAGATGATCAAGTTGTAAAGAAAAAGAGGGGTAAAAATTATGCCCAATGAAAATTCCTCATCCGTTAAAGTTTGTGATGTATCATATATAAGCCGTAAAGATTAAACATATATTCAAGACCTGTAAAGAGAACATGAAATGATTCTGATATTTCTTGTGATAGCTTTTCTGTTTATGAGTGGATTCTTTTCAGTCATATCTCATATCGATTTGAGCTACAATAGAATCGTGCCAGCTGGTCGAAGTGTATTCAATGAAGAAATATTTGCTTATATGTTTGAATTCGTAGAAGCCTTTTTTCGATCAAAAACGATCATGCTTTGTTACTAGAATTCCTATCAATTATTTTGTCTTGTAGTTATCAAGAATGTGGACGTGTCAGTTCTTATGAATGACCAGCTCGATCAATTTTGTTATCCGAAACGAAAATCATCATCGAAGCATCTCCTTGCAAAACAATTAGCTCTTGTTATTCCAATACTACTCTTAGGATTACAAAAACTTCATCAATATTGTTCACTTTGTCGTCCAGAGTGTTTCACGGCTACCTGTGCTCTTCTCTTACAACATCATCTGCAGTTGCACCATCAACGAGATATGCATCTTCAACGAAAGCATACCTTGAATCCATGTCTGTACCCCTATCAGCAGACTGGTCAACGAATTGGTTATCTGAAATTCAAAATAACTATGTTGCACTCAACGTTGTATTTGAATCCACTCAAGTAGAGAACTATACGCAAGAAGCGTCAGTGGGTCCAGTTAATGTCCTTTTCACTGTCGGTGATCATTCGGAATTGTGGATTGGAATAAGTTTCTTATCAATTATGGACGTATTTGAAATGCTCTATCGCCTTTGTCGATATGCATACCATAGTTTAAAAGAAATTCTAAGGCACAGATATAACCAGATCAATTGATGAACTTGTAAAGATATAAAACATTATTTTCACTATTTCGAGCAAATATAAAAATATCTTACGTTCAAAATATTCTGAGTACATAGTTTAACTGTTATCACGCTGCAATGAGAGTTGTCATTCCACGTTACTTTTTCTTGCAATCACTTTGCTAGCGTTTCTTTTCTGCATAACAACTACTCTAAAATGAAGACATAGAAATCCGAACAATTAAATTTTAAGCATGAAAAACCTTGAATTCATAGACGGGTTTTATCAGTGTACGTATGACTATAGTCTGTTCGCTTGCTGTTGTTTCATGCATACAAACACTGATACCCACATCCTGAATACAGACGTTGCTTGACATGCTGTTCTTTTGAGAGCAGACTACTTAACAGAGCGCGCAAATTACAATGAATGCCTTTGATTGTTAGCAAAAGCATATTTGATTTCAAAAACTAGAATTTATCTCCTTCGAAAATTCTAAATCTGTAAGTATTATTTTTATCCTTATTGTTCCCGGAAAAAAATGAAATTATCTACATGTATAGAAAAAAAGGAAATCAAATATGAATATAATATCACTGTCTTAAGGCTTTCTCGACACACCTAGTGGATTTAAATGTCCATGGACTTCTGGTGTATATGTGAAAAGAACAATTAATGTCCATAAATGAAGAAGTATAGCATAAAATATCACTCCAAGACGAACAGCCGGATAACGCTTTAGAAAAACACCTAAACGAATACCAAGTTTATCAAGTTCATTAGCTGCTCGTTTAACTTTTTTTGCTATATCAGGATCGTATGGTGTTTCACGTAGTAATGGTATACGATAGCGAAGATTATCTTCATGTTCATTATCATACACTCCATTACTATCTAAATCAATTGATGTCGCTGTTGATGATGCTGCTTGAAAGCGTTTTGGTGTTTGTTGTAGAGAATTATTTGTTGTTAGCGGAGAAATTTTTTCATAGTCATCTAAACGTTTTTCTAAACGTTCTAATTGCATTGTCAATGAACTTTTATCGGTTTGTAACGATTCAATAATTGTTTGTTTATGTATTAAAGATTCAGTTAATGCTTGTAAACGTTTTTCTAATTCATCATCATTAACATGACTTATAGTTTTTGCTGTTAATTGTAAACGAAGTCGTTCTGATTCTCGTTCACGTTCATTTAGTTGCGCTAAGTGCGCTTGTTTTTGTTTATGGGATTCCTCGTGCATATAAGTTAATTCTTGTTTTAATTTACGATAATCTTGTTCAGCTAATGTTAAACGCGAATGTTCATCTCTCAATTGTTCGTTTAATTGATTTGTTTGTTCATGCAGTTGTTCTTCAGCACGTTGCACAAGTAGTTCAGATTCTTGAAGTTCGCTACGTAACATATGAATAGTTAATTCACGTGCTTGTAATTCTTGTTTAAATAATTCATTTTCAACTTTGATCTCTTCGTATTGAACAGATCCCCAATTCGAAGATGTTGACGATGGTAGAGGTGCATTTCCAACAAGACTAACATCGTGCAGTGAAGGATCATCGTTTATGCTTAACAATTCAATTTCTAGACACAAGAAAAACAAAAGACACTGAAGATGTTTTCTTTTTATGAGTTTAATATTCAATTCGAATTATCATAACAAAATTTATGCTTAATAAGATCGATGCAAAGAATATCGATGAAAGACAATCGAATAGGTTTTTATTACATATTTGCTTTTCTCTTTAGTTCAAATTGCTTCTTCAAAATTCTTGCGTCATGTATATTATAATCATTCTTTTAAAAAACTCACATTTCTACGTCGTTGTGAAGTAAAAAAAAGCCGATTAGACCGTTCGAAATAGGAATCCAGAAGCACATTACTATGTTAAACTTTACACACAAGTAACAGAGGAGGAGTAATCTATCACGTATTTGAAATTGATTGGCGTAGAATTCGTTAGATAGAAAATAAAACGTTTCGACTTATTTAGCTATAAGATGGCAGTGTCTAATGTTAAAAATGTCAGATAAGAACAAATGAGGGTGAAAATGCGATACTTGATCTCGTTTAAAAAAAAGAAGTTTCGATTAAAGCTGACGTAGAAGTGAACTGTGGAGTATTTTTATTTCTTAATTGGATATACCTAATTAATTTTTCTATTAAACTACAAAATTGAGAAATATCAATCAATAGTGACAGTAGGAATCGATAGCATTGACTGAATATAGTTTTTTGCTCGTAACAGTAACTTACATCAAGAATCTAAAATCATCTCATTAATAGACAATATTGAAAGTCTGCTTTTGTTTTGGTTAGGAAGTGACCAAAAATCATTTGTGACTATCTCTTATACTTTATATCATTCTTTAGAAAACTAGTTTCTTCATTGTCTCTCAAATGGCAATACTTTGACGTGTTGATTTTCTTTAGAAACAACCTTCTCTATTGAAAGACACGCTCTACAAAAATGCTTTCTAACATACCATGTTGATCACCACTGATCGATGAATTATTTTTATGCTGCACCATTTCTTTAAGTTTGATGATTAATTTGTCTTTAGTTTGTAAAATTCTTTGTGCTTTAGCTTTATATTCGTTCATGTCTTGTTCCATTTGATGTATTAAATTTTTGGAATGTTTTGTTTGTTGTTGGTGTTCATGAATTTGTAAGCGTTCATCATGTAAACGTTTTTCCGCTAATTTTAATTGTTCAAGTAATTGTTGTCGTTCATCATTTGAACGTTTCTCAAGCGAATTCTTCTCGTCAACTAAACGTTCATTTTCATTTATACGCTGTTGTAATTCATGTTCTAATTGTGATACATTTAATTGTACAGAATCAAAAGCTTGAGATTGTACACCAGCTGAATCTGTGTGATCTTGTAATATTCGTGCACATTGATTTTGTAGTTGTTCACATTGTGAATTTTTGACTTTGACTAAATTATCAGATTCAGCTAAACGAACACGAAGTAATGCTATTTGAGAATCTTTTGCAGATAAAGCTTCAGCTGAATCACTTTCACGTGAACGTAAGTCACGTAATAATGAATCTGATTCAGCTATTTGATTTTGATATTGAATAAGTTGACGTTTATATTTCTGCAATTCGTTTTCATGCTGACGTTTATCGTGCATTAATGTTTCGATTTCAGTATGAAGTGAAGCAACGATTTCATCTTTAAGATTTGAAGATTGATTTGAGACAATGTCGAATTTATTGTCATTATCTGATGTTTCTTGTTTAGACTGAGCATTCTACATATTTACAAAAGAAAAAAAGGAATGAATTCATATGAGAAATTCTGTTTTTTTCTTCTACATTTATCTTACTAAAACAAGACCTTCATCATCATCATGCAATTGTACAGCAGGCGTTGTTGATCGCGGTGTAACGGAGGCTGATTTTGATGATGATCGTTCAGTAGTCGTTAATGAATTATCGAGAAACATATTGGGTGAACTAGCCGTACGTGTTGAATCACTAAGTGAATTATTAGAAGGTATACTATGATTAGGTTTATCATTGACGGATGTCGAAGTATTAAGATAATCGAACAGATCAGAATCGTCCTTTTTTTTATTGAGACGAGACGCTTTTGTTGATCGATTTGTTGAGTCAAAACTAATGCTTGACCTATTTGATGAATTTAACGACGATGTATCAGATGTAGATTCGTCGTGTGATGTGGATTTTAAAGTATGTTGGTTTATAGCTGCATTTGTTTGTTGATCGACACGATTAAGAATATCTTCTGCTTGTTTCAGTATCCAAGACATATTGTTTTCAATACTCTAAGTTATAACTCGATACGCTCCACCTGTAATAAAAATAAATAGAAGAGGTAAATATGCAAGTGCCACATAATAGAACATTATATAATGACTCATCCATGAAGGCTAATACAGTTGTACTTACCTACCAACTGGTTGATAGGGGATAGATGTCTCTGGTATCCTTCTGACTTGTTTGTTTCAATTGTTGGTTTGAATCGAATGATATAATCTAGTTTGATGCGCTATCTTTAAGAAATGTAAAGTAGTAGTTAGAATATGAATACCGTATTTCACTTAGCTGTAGAACTTATCGACGTTTCTAGATAATTTTGCTCTTTCAAATCGTTTAATTATAAAATTAGAGCACTAATAATTAGTTCGATAATAATTGAATCATTTGATACAGTTGAAAACAACTCTCGAATGCGGAAAGCAATATTGTATTTTATTGAAAAAAATTCGTTCTTTGCTAATATTCATTAAGAGATCATGATGGCAGCTATATGTAAGAAAGTAATTGAATATCGGAAAACTGATTGTCAATAAGTTAAACATGTAATTACTATATAGTGATGACGACATATTTATGTATATTTTCACAATTAGCAGTCAATATCTCAAAGAAACATATTTCTAAGTGAAATAGATAGGATTTTCCAAGCAGAATTACCCTAAATTAATCTTTAATCACTTCCTTTTTTCTAATTTCAGAGTACCACAGATGGAAGAAATTAAATCGCATAGTTTTTCCTGTAGAATAATTGTTTGACAATTGCACTGTGTCCATCAAAGTATCTTCTAGATTTTGATTAGCTACGGCTTCAGAAAATATTATTCATAAAAGATTTTACTAGCGATTCTAAAGCGTAATATGCCCAGGTCAAACAGTCCGGCCTGGAAACGGCCGGTTCCGGGTAGTTCCGTTGATTTTGTGGAAGCAGTATTCCGGTTGGAAATTTTCCGGATTTTTTCCGGTGATTTCCGATCAATTCCTGCCGGAAAGCACCGGAACTTCGCCGGAAAAGTCCGGCCGTATTTTTGACCGGAATACTGCTTCCATGTTCCAGTGATTTCCCGTGTTTTCCTGCAGGATATGGTGACTCTCCCGCATATTCCCTGGAGTATCCTACGGGATCCGGCGGCCGGAATGTTCGACCTGGGATGTACTGTTATCAAACCATCCATCCAGGGTTTTCCTATAATTCTGAATTGTTCACTTATTGATTTGATTGATTAGTTTAGTTTTGTACAATTTCAGAAATGAGATGGATAAATTAGACAAATTAAAATTCTTGTATCTTTTATTCATTCAAAGACAAATGTCAATTGTTTGTCTAAGCGTCAATTCGCATAGATAGTTTTCGATCGGTGATAAAAGTAAACGAATTAATATTTAAACGTATGTTTGATATATGCTTATTTTCAATCCAACAAGTCGAACCGACTTGAAGTGAACATTTAAATGTAACTTTAATGGTACAAGCAAAAATAAGTGAACGTAAATCTTCATGAATAATTCGTTGATGTCGCTGACAAGATAGATCTTCCATTGACATGAACATTTCAAGATTATTGCTGGTATGATTTTCAATAGATATATTTGCTTGTTGAATAATATCATTGATTTTTGTATTATATCTTGTTAAATCACTATTTGCATTATAATAGAGCATTGTTTCAAAGCCAAGTACAAGTTGTGTACCATGTTTTAAATTTGTTTGATTATCAAATGAATAAAAGTTTGTACCATTAAACCATTGAAATGAATTTGTTGTTTCAACATGAATTATTCCCAAACCAAGACTTGTTTCGTTCCCTGCATATACATATATACCTGCTAGTTCTCTTCGTGCTTGTTTTAACGATAATGTTCCATGACATGTATCATAGAAATCGAATGAGGTCAATGAATTAAATTCATTCTCATACAAATAACAGTCAACACGCTTGTTTATATTTTGTTTGAATAAATAACGATTTTGAGGAATTACATGATTTCCGTATCGGTATAAAGGAATGTCGACCTCATCACCTCCGCGAATAATGTTAATATGTGGCTCTTGAGTTGAACTGTTTATTTGAGAAACTGCTCTAAGCCATGTTTGAATTTGATTTGTTGTTAGCAAGGAAAGATCAGTTTCAGCGTTAATGATGAAAATTTCAGAGCTATAAAATGTCCAATAAAGAAGAAAAATAACGAGTCTCATCATAGAATATCTTAGAAAATGAATTGATATTTTTTTCTTTTAAATTTAAAGCATTTAATGATATTTGATACGTTAATCGACTTTGTTAATCACAAATTTGAAGAATATGATATTCTTTTTACACACTAGGCGTACTTTTTAATTATAAAGAATAATAGTAAGCACATAAAGCGAGAAATAAAATAAACTACATAGTTGAATTAAAGTTTCACACAAAAAAGCAATACCATTTGGTAGTATTTACACACACATGACCAGAATTAAAACATAGAATACAATGCAAAAACTACGATCTGAATCAATGTCGACCTTTTCTATATAAGGTATACATTTGATATATCTTTTCAGTTAGAATACAATCAAAGGAAATTGTTTTTGAACTTAATAGATTGCTATGTCACCAATTTTAATGAATTTCTTAAGCACATTTTTTTAGAGACTTTTGGCTAGCTAACAAAAGTCAAATGAACTTAAACTGATAGTGCAACGATGAGATCATCGATGTTAGCAATTTTCTTATTCGAATTATTTCGTTCTTCAAACTTCATCTCGTTTAGACATTGATGACATAACAAAAAAAAATTAGAAATAGTTCAAAGGAGAAGAAAAATTTCCTATCGAAAGGCTGAAAGAACTTTTTGTTTGACCATGATCGATCGCTACTTTTGTATTGTACAGTTTTTGCTCAAAATAAATTCATTTTCGCATGGAAATAAAATCTTCGGTGGAGAGGACATTTCTGAAAAATCTTCTATTGATGCAATATGAATATACTGATCATTACTATTGCCAATTACTGGATCTTCATTGTCCGAATCGGTATCATCAGACTAGCATAGAAGAATTATAAACAAAAAGAAAACGTGGAAATATATAAATATTACGTTTAATAATGATTCTGAATCTTTCTTCCTTCTTGGAGTATTTGGTATTGGGTTCGGTGAAGCAAGAACATACGAATTTAATGGTCCCATTGTATGTATTTGTTGAGTAACCACCTAGAGTAAGTATTATTAACATCTATGTTTGGAATCAGACTAAATATCTTACGTGTTCATCTTGCGGTTTTTTTCGACTTTGCCAAAAACTATATGTTTAAAAAAGGATTAGAGGTAAAAAAAATTAATAAAAAGAAAGCTTTATTGTATAACTCACTGAAATCCAAGACCAAAAATAATGAATAAAATTAAGATCAGAATGATGGTTATAAAGATTAAATAATATCGATCAGAAAGAACACCTTTAATGAAATCAGTAGGATATCATACTCAACAAAGTGAATTTAGTTCATATCTCACTTAGTTTACTCAATGTTGTGATTTCCTGACATACTGGATTACCATCTGGATCACTGTAAGTTTGCCGACATTTCATACATACTCGATAGGTCGAATCAGATAAAAGATTATCGTCTAGAATTGTATTACGATTTGAATCGATTAATGTCCATGTCTTGATAGAAGAAAATAATAATAAATAAATTATCTGTTTATAATATATATTTGACTTACATAATTGAGAGCCATGCTTAGTTTTGGCAGAATACTTTTTTCACACAATGCTGGCGGATCCGTAGGTGTAACGTTAATTCGAATTCCAGTTGACGATTCTGATTGTACAGTGAATTTTGGCGTTATTCGAAAAACTAAATCAAAGCATATGTACAAATTACTTATATTATCATTTGTATAGGTATCATAATTTGAAAAATTGATGTAAAAAAAAGAAAATGCCAGTAATTCTCTAGAAATCGATGTCTTTATGAAAATATTCGAAATGTTCATTTTCAATTTCCGTTACGGCAAAACTGCCTGGTGTCCTTTACATGTCATTACGATCCCGTACAATTTATAACTTTTGCTCGTACTAATTCACGACTTTGTCCAAAGAAAAAACAAAGTATTTTTTTTCTTAATTTAAAATATTCTTTCTCAAAAATAAACAAAAACTTTATTTACTTGAACTGATCGATTTTACTCTCATCAAATGCCTCTGTGTTAAAGTTACACTAATTTAAATGATCATCATTCAATCTAATCGATTGATAAATTTTGATTATATTCAATAAGAAACCTATTGCATCTGATTAACTATTTAAGACGATTGAAATATTTATTTCGACACTTGTGTGAATAGCTCGATGCAATTAAATCTATCAATGATGTATTATTTCCCATAAAAAATAGGTGTTTTTTACTTCTACGCATGTGACTCACTCGGTGTCATATCAAAATAATAAGACGACTCATCAAAATGAGGTAACATAGCTTTCATGTGCATCTGAACTCGATCTGGGAATTCTCCATCTACAGTTGGCTTCCATTTAAATACTAAATGTTCGCTTGTACTTTCATTTTTTAAGAATTCAACTCTTGATATGTAAGTCGTATGATCAGGCCTAGAAGAATAAAAATATTATTTTATTATTTTATTATTCATAACTTACGATTGGCTGATTTCATGAAATTCGAATTTAGGTGGGTAATCATTTTGAATGGCACGTGCTATTGTTGGTGCTCGAATCAAGCATTTTATATACTGTCTATCATAGACTCGACATCGTTCGGCCAGTTGAAATACGCCAGGTGAAGCTGAAAAGGACATTTTTTGGGCTGTATTATAGTGGCATGTATATTTTATTAAGAGAAAGAAAAGAAAAAAAGAAATTTTACATAGCTTTACTCACGCAAATGATATCAGTATGAAAATAAATAATGTTATTTCTTTTTACCTTTGACAATAATATCGGCACGAGTGCCTTTACTCTTTTCACCATCGTTGTAGCATAATAAGTGGAAAATTCCAACGTAATTTTTCATCTCAAGTTGAATATTAATTGCGGTTTTATTTAATTGATTAGTAGTGATTTTCATTTCACTAGGCGGAATTATTTTTGATAAATTTACTGTCAATGGCTTATGGTGTGATTCATGATCAACACATATGAAATTAGTACTACTAGTCGAATCTATAACTACGACACTGGGTACTGAAAACAAAAACAAAAACAAAATAATTTAATTCAAGGTTAATATAAACACGTGAAAAACTTCGTACCTATTTCAACATTTGATGGACGAAAATTTGATATGACTACTTGAGAATAACCAAAGTTAATTGAAATAAACACGATCAAAGTAAGCATAAGTCGACTTTGTCTCAGTTGAATGAGCGACATTTTTTATTGCAAGAAAATTAAACAAAGCCGTTCGTTGCGTGGTATCCTTAGTTTCTTCTTCGTGACTGAAAAGAAAAAAAAATGAATGGCTTTATTATGTAAAAAGAAAAGAAACGTTTCTATCTTCAAATAAAATAAAACAAGTATATTGTTAATAGATAGGAAAGCATTTCTTTATTCTACAAATTATATTATTCATAGAAATAAATCAAAGAAAGTCTTTAAGATAAAATGTAGTGGTAGGTGAGCGAATTTATTATACCAGCTAATTAAATTCGAACTCATAAGTAATTACGCACAAGCGTTAATATAGTTATGTGAATGAAAGCATATTTATCGGTACAAATGTAGCTAACCTAAGTGTCGAAGTGCTAGACATAATGTTCGAATATTGTTTGAATGAATGAAAGAAAAAAAAAGAAAAGTAGAAATAAATAATTTATTGCTTTCTGCTTGAATAAAAAAACTGGTAAAACCGAACGTGTTCGTATATACGAACAGATACATAAGCCAGCCGATATAGATTGATTTCAAGGTAAAACCAAGCCGTAGTATCTGCTTTGAAAAAATAATCTATTCTAATGCATACATAGTGCACTATTTGTAAGAAAGAAAAACGTTGTTTTTCTTTGCACCACTTTCACTTATTTTATATATTAAACTAATCTGATGCTATGATCACAAAGACTATTTAATGTTCATCATTTCCTTTTTTGTTTTATATTCTATCTAATTTTGATTTATCTTAATTTTTTATCAGAGATTTTCTTAGAAAAAACTATTTACATAAATTTTCTAGATTGCGACATGTATTTAACTATCGATGGGATTAAAACAAAAACAAAAACGAAATGCCAGAACATAGAAGAAAAACAAAGCCATAGAATAATATTCTGAAAAGTAACAGTAAACATGATTTCAACTTATTCAAGCGTTATACTTTGCAACAGTTGCATCGTTCTGTCAAACAACTTGGACGTATACTTAAAAAAGAAAGAAAAGTTTCAAAGAAATATCCTCAGTATATTTGTCAAGTCTCAACAACTTTAGTTTGTTTCTTTTCAGTATGAGTACGACTGTAATATTTACTAACGTAAGTGAGAAAAAAAAGATTTTCTATGCACTTGTGCAATTAGACTTTAATTTCTATTGACGAGCACTATGCCTATGAATAGTTTCGTTTTAGTGATTTCAAAAAAAAATTTTCTTTTCTCTGTCAAAACCAAAAAAATAATGATGGTGAATTCGAGTCGATGTATTTTACAAAATTCTCTCATAAACAAATGAATGCGTGACTAGTTGCTAAAATTCTTCGAAATTTTTTATTTTCAGAGATTTTTCATTTTTATGCTCAAGAATTTTTCAAATAGAAAAAGAATAATGCACTGAGATACTCTTAAAATAACATATGAACTTAGAGGCCGAAAATTATATTTTTCTTTTTTCTCTCACAGTAATTAAAGTTGTTAGTCATAATCTGAAATAAAAAAAAGTTTCGCAGTCTCGATGGATTGGCTTATGCACAAACGACTCGCTACGCATCTTTATTGAAGTAAAATCGACTGCGTTTAAACAAGTTTTTTTTTCTTTTTTTCTTTCTCGCATCGCAAAGAAAAGTGAAATAAAAAAATGAGCTGTTTTTTACATTAAAAAAACGGTATGGGTAATACAGGAAGAAAAAGATATATTTATCTTGAAACGCTCAGCAAATGACAGACAATCGAGTAAGAAGCATCAGCATAAATTAAATAAATAAATCCTGTTTAGTAAGTAAAATAACTTAATCATGAAGAATACGAGATAGTATATAATTACTATAATAACAAATCTATTCACAGACACCGTTAAAGAGAAATTTTATAAAAAAAGGATTGAAACAAAAATTACTGGTGGCTTTCTAAAGTTTGATATCGTTTATCTTGAATATCAGTAGTTTCATCAAATAGCGCATGACAACGGTAATTAAAACATAGTTGATATCAACTATGAAGTCTATGAATCAGTCGTCCAAATAGTGATTCTACCATTTTTTATCTCTTACAAACATGTAAATAGTTTTCGTAAGATAAACTTTAATTATTATCATTTATAACTTAGCAAAATAGTGGCGATAAAATGTTTTTCGACGAAAATCAATTCTCACAGTAAAAAAAAGATACGAACTAAATGATAGACTTATTATGATACTAGCAAAGTTGTACTAGTCGTCTTATCTATTCTATGATTAGTTGTACTAAAATGTGCTATCAATGTATGTCAATCCATTTTCTTAGTAATCGATATGATGGATTTGGTGTTCTGAACTAGACAAAAAGAAACAACAACTGAGGAATGACGGACAATATTTAGTAAAATGGAAGTATGTCATAAGCGATATATTCAGTACAACATTGACCACAAATAAATAAATCAAGCGAGTCAAAATGATAACAACTATTTCTAACTAGCTGTTACAATATATGAACCACTTCCTGTGTTTAATTCCTCGCTTTGATGTAGAACAGTAAAAGATGAAATTTGCCTTTTCAATCAATTGCAAGATTTTGAGTTTATTGTTACAATTTTTATTTCTATGTTAAACGAATGAAACAAATATTGTAGCTGTTCTTCACATGATCATTTCCTCCTGTTTATGTTAGTATTTAAAATAGTGCATTTGCTCAATCTATATATAGATAGCACAAATACGAACTATAATTACCTTCAAAGTTGATATAAAACGAACAGTTAAATCATTTTTACTTTATTTTATCAGTTTAGAGCTTCGTCGTCAACATTCCATCAAATAAAAATTTCAGCATCGAACGACAGATTCCAAAGTGCAACATGATTTTTTTAGTGTCGGCACAAAAAACGTCTGCAGGCAAAAAGAAATACACATACTTCCTTTCTTTTCTTTTTTTTGCGGAGTCATGAATTATTCTATATAATTGCACTAGAAATGTTGAAAAAACACTGTACTAGACAGACATCATATACGTAATCATGTAAAAATTGCTGAGAATAGAATTTATATCAATGAATAATCAATTTAAACAAAGATCGGAATGAAGTTCAGCCTCATCAGATAAATTTTCAATTGTCTAATTAATAAAGCATAGTTTACTATCGAATCTTTTGCTCATTTCTAACAATGGGAATTTTTAAATATTCCCTTCAAAAATGATTGTCTTAGAAGGAGAGTTTTTTTTTATAGACATGAAATACTCCTTTCAATAATCATGATATTGCGTAATTTCTCATAATAGTTGCAGGATCTGTAAATAGATTAAGTATGTGCCATTAGCATATAGTTTGATTGTGAAACACGCCATTCATGTTTTCGGTTGTTTTTTTGTCAAGAGGTATTCGAAGCGACATTATTAATACTGTTGCTTAAAGCCATTTGCTATCGACCAGTAAAACCGATGATTGCTTGTAATGCGTCGTCTAGAACACATAGGAAGCACAAGATTTAAAACAGAATAGTCGATATCATAAGAATGTCGCGTATGACATGACTGAATAATCGTATCTATCAGTAAACAAAATATATTTCGAACATTCAATCTGTTCATAACAAAATGATCAATACTTGGTTTACATGATTATCTCTTCTTGAATTATTCTAAGAAACTAAATAATAAAATATCTCCGCATCGTTTTTCTATGTAGAATAATTTGATAGAATATTTAAAATGAATTTCTACTATTTTGTTAAATTTTGTCATCATTTTCAAGAAGATTTTTTAAAAGCACGTACCAAGAATAATTCGGTTCTTATTTAATAACTACTCAATGTGAAAGCATAAACAATCAACATCTAGATTGAATTTTTTCATAATAATGATTACTATATATTTGTTGAAAAACTTTTCTTTATTCCATTTATACGAGAGAGAGAGAGCGAAAAACTAGAGGATCACGATTTATGTTACTAGCGTAGATTTGCTTCACGTGAGTTTGTGGAGAAGATTTATACATTGCTTTTCATCAAATCGTTTGTATTTGGAATGATTTCAAACGTCGAGAAATATTGGCATGTACTGTTAAACTCAATACAATGAAACATGAAAAGTATACTATCTTTTAACTTGGATAAACATAAAATAACTAAAACACTTTCGAGGCATCCGATAAAAGAAAGTTAATTAACAAATATCTAACACTACATATGGTTAGGTCCCGTTTCGTCGAAATTGGTTTTCCTAATATTTCTGTTTCATCAAAAATTGAACCCCATGAAAAGTAGAGTACTTTATTCTGATAACATTTTGTTTTGAATCATATTGATCAAAGATATCACTCAACAATTCAAAGTAAATTTTCTCGAAAATTTGCTAGAGAAAAGTATTAGTTGCACATGCCTACCTCCTTTCTCCACAAATTACTAGCATATCTAATCCATATTCAGTTGCTTGCATTAGAAAAAATTCGATAAAGATATTTAAACTAATTAAGCTATTGGCTATGATCCTTTTTATTTTATTACGATTTAATTTTTCGATGAAACGAAGAAAGTCTACTCTAAATATGAACTAAAAATTCGAAAATTTAAAATAGACTGGGCAGAACGACTCATTCGTGTAAAGAAATTTTTTTCTGCTTGAATTAAATTTTTGATCGTTGCTGTGGTAGCCTTCATTCTAGATGCTCTGTCACTGATTGGAATAGTTCTTTCAGAAGAGAAGATTTATCTAAAACAAAACTTGATATTCATTTCAGTCTTAAGTACATTGATTTGTGTGAAGAGGAATTCTCTCGATATACGTTCAAAAAAAAAAACTAGCCACCGATGACCACTAGCGTCTTCTTTCGTAATGTCATAAATCTATTGGTTAGTTGAATTATTTCGAGGGAACAAAGAAGATGTTAGGAATCGATGAATAAGAGAGACAGAAAAAAACGTAGTCTTTTGATTCATACAAAAAACAAATGGCTGAACTTAAACGTTTGTTTGCTTCATTAGAAAATGCAGAATTAGCTCGTGCTCAAATTGACGACGAACATGCATCAATACTTAATCAATTGCATGCACTTAGTGAACATAGTCATATGGTTAAACATAAATATTTGACAACAATGAAAGATACATTTTCCGGTCAGTTGTTATGTTTTCATTGTTAGTTATTATTTATTCGATATCAATTTTCTAGCTAATCTATCACGATATCGTGATGAGGATCTTCGCGTGCGTAGTAGTAATTTAATCAGTAAGTAGATCTTTCTTTGAAGAACGATTTCAAGTTTATTGTTTTTAATTGTTCTTTTAGAAGAAAAATCCATTCAAGTTAAATGGCCAATAATTAATAATAATGAAAAACAAACTGAAAATCTTGTGACTTTGCAACAAATAAAGAATTCCGATAATGAAAACGAAATTCCACCACCATTGATCATTAACAGCAATCAAGCCTATTTAATTGATAATTTCGATTTAATTAAGCAACGCTATTCATCTTTGGCTGACTTTAATCTCTCACGTGGTTAGTATTTTGTTTTCATTTATTCATCTATTTTTGTTTTGCTGAAAAATTTAAGATGGAAAACAATTACGAATTACATTTAAACCAGAGAATATGTTCGTCGTATTGGAAGCAATAACAAATGGTCGATATGGACAAAGTTGGAAAAGTAAGCTTATCTTAATTTTATTCTCAAGAACCTTTCAGAGTTATAACTACTTCGAAAATCTATTTTTAGTTATTGATTCAATGCCTAGCTTACCATCTTTTACTCAGCTCAATACAATAATTCGTCAGAGCAACAATATTACAGCTGAACAATTATGTCTTATACGCGCATGTTTAGTCAAACAACAGAAAATTAATGAATAATAATCATAGCAATATTAAAGTATTTTTTTTTGGACTGGATAGAGAAAGTAAATTGATGCAATGTTTTATTCCCATTTTGTGTAAATAAAATTAAGATTCTATCAAATAGCATATTGCCTGTTTTTTACTGATAAAGGATTTGCTCAATTTATTCGGAGAATTATAGTAGAAAATTAAATTTCATCCTTGAAAGCTCATACAAATATTATTTTTATAATATAAAAAACAGCTCGATCATTTATAATTTTAGTAAGAAACGTATTTCTGAGAGCTTTCGTGAGAGTAACTATTCCACTTTGCGCTATTCACATTCTGTATGAAGAGTAAACACCATACTTATCTAGTTTTAATTATATTGGATGATGATGACGACTCCTTAGAAGCACCTCATCGATGAAAGAAGTATTTTTCATCCATTAAATTCTCATTGAAGATAGAAATAACTTCATCTATTATTCAAATATAATATACAAAGTTCTTTTAATAATTTATCGATAACAACGCAAAACACATGTTTGACATGATTTCTTTATATTTACTATTTCTCCATACGTTTACAGCTGAGCGGTATTCTAATACAGATTTTTTATAATGATCAAAGCAAACAAATATAACTACAATATAATAGTAACGACCTTACTTTTTATTTTAAATTAAAGCCAAATAAATATATGTATACTACATTCATTATGAGTTATCAATTTTTTTACAAAGAAAATTTGATCAAATATTTTGTTAAACAACACCAATGTTATATATCCTGCTTCTGTGCATGTCATCAAGTAGTTTCATGCCTTTGCATCACTATGAACTACTTCATTCTATGCATATGAAAGTACGACAGAGGACGAATGTTTTAAACCAATAAGAAAACAGAAGATGTGTGAGCATAAATAAGCTAAGCTATATAAAATAAAGCTAGACGAGAAAAAGAATAGTTTTGTATGGATGCTCTCTGGCTCACAAAAAAGAAAGAAAAGAAAACCCAAAATACAAACAGAATAGAAAAGTCTAGTAGGAGAAACGCAAGAAAAAAAACGTAGAGAAAGAAAAAAAAAAGAAACATAGGCAGACGGATGATAGAGGAGAAAAAATAACAATCATTCAACTCAAATACGACAGAAACAACAGCAATGGCGTCGAATGACGAGGATGAGCCACTTTTAAATACAATTGTAGATAATTCGACTAATGCCAATCGTCGATGTCCAACATGTCAAGGAACAGGTCTAGTAACAACATCACCCGGCCTCGTTGCTTTGATTCCACTGGATGATGTTCGTCTTAAACGAAGACATACACTTTTATGGATTGTATTAACAGCGATTTTTTGTACAGCTATTGCCACGACTGTTATTGTCACTATACTACCACGATCTGTGCAGTTGTCAATAAAAAATCCAATTATTATCGATGCTACGGATGATTCATATCGTAATTCAACCTGTTTTCGTTTGACATTTATTCATCAAACTAATATAAAATCAGATAATTGGATACCGATTCATTTAATTAATTTAACTACATCAGTTGAACATCAACTTATACCAATTGGTCCTGATACAGAAAAGTTTTTCGGTCATCAAATGTATTTAAGACCATTGGGCACTATACAATCAAATATTACTGTACAGCTTGATTTTGATGCAAGCACAATGGCTTATCGTGCTTGTCAAGGCATATTTCGACAAATGCTTTTATTTAAATTACAAACAACATTAACCTACGCAGATTTTCTTCTTGGTAGAATTCAAACAGCCAATAATGTTTCCTATCAATACGTACTGTGTAACAAAGGGGAATGGAAACAACATGAAAGTATTGTAGTAAACACGACCAAAACTGTTTAATGGTAATATGTAATATCCATGTTTTTAAATAAATATGAGACAATCTTTTTTTCAAATTTTTGTATTTTTCTCTTTTGATGCAATAGATACATGGTGAATTTTTTCTATTTGGAAAAGATATCAAAGATGAATTCTCGCTGTAAAATTTCATGCAATAAAATAGTATCAAATTTCATTTGATGTCAGTTTATTATCTATGAAAATTGAGAATAGATAAATAGTAACGTGTCATGTGTAGCAAGATAGAGTAAAAAATAAACACTCATAAATGATTTATAACATTACTTAAAGAATTATTATCTCTAGGAATGTTTTTGGTAATTATTCACACGAATGAGAAAATTCTATTAATAATGACAAAAAAAGTCATATAGAGTACATTATCGCGCTAAAATTGCAAAACTTAAACAATACACCAAATGTGTTTTATTTTCTACAATGGTTTACTTTTAAAATTGTGTAATTCCATATCTTTTTAATATCGATGGGTGGAGATATATTGATGAATGATCGAAAATTATTAGGATACTAATACAAACATAATTATATGCGATTCGATCTCTGACACCGTTTACAATGATCCGCGTGTAAACTTTTTAGTTCATTAGTTTTATAAATTGATATGCGTCCTGTTACATTTTATTTGTAGATGTAGATATGTAAATATTTTGTGCGCATTCATCCATGACAAATAGGCGAAAAAGACTAATAAGACAAAACCAATCTAGTATATTTGTGAAATTTTATGGTACAGCATAACATTATCATGAAATTATTTGAATATTATAATTTGAAATATATAATTTTATTTTTATTTGGATATATTTTAATAAATTTTCTATTATCATACAAATTTTTTTCTTTAAACAACACCTATGCCACTGAACAACAAGAAAATTGGACGCCTACAATGAAAAAATTCTGTTCGAAAGTTCAGCAAAATGTAAAGAAAGAGAAACCGTCAAGTTTATCATGGCTCGGTAATGTTCAACTTCAACCGCCGAACTTCAATAAATATTTCAGAAAACAAAGCATAGAGATTCCCTACCTTTATTCTACTTGGCGTTCTTCACCGGATTTATCTCGTCGACTTAATCCATGTGATCATCAGTTATATATAGAACTAATTCGTATTTTTGATCATTTCCTTCGTCGACATCAAATCTCATATATGATAATGGATGGAACATTATTAGGTAAGAAAACAAAAGCTAAAGAAATAATTTTACAAAACTATTATTGTCTTAAAAATTTTAGGTAGCTATACAAATCATGATTTTTTACCATGGGATGATGATCTTGATATACGTATTCTATTGCGTGATCGTTCACGTATGTATACTCTTCTTCGTCAAGAACTTGAGAATACTGTTAAAATATTAAATATTACCAATCAATTTGGATCTTATGAAATATTGTTTTTTCCTTGGGCACCACAAGCTGGTGACTACCATTGGTCATATCCGAATATTCATATTGTCTATTTGGAAGAAAATTCTACTCATATATGGAAACAAAATAGTGATAACGATTCGATTAACGATTGCTCTATTTCGAAAAGTGATATATTTCCGGTTGTATGGCGCCCATTTGGTCAAATTTGGTTGCCTGTAAGTTTTACGTGAGGTCGAAAAACTACATTATTTATATGTGATTTTTAGGCTCCACGAGAACCGTTAACTGTTTTTGAATTACTTCGTTGGAAAACATTTGACAAAATGTTTTTTGCTAAAAATTATTCACATAAATATGAACGAGAAATACCATTGATCGATGGTCGTGCACAACCTTCACAACTTTATCCATATTATTCATGGGTGAATCGTTACTGTCTCAAAAAACATTGCATTGAACAACTTATCATAATGTATAATAATATAAATATTACTATACATACCGCCCCGTTCAAAAAATATAGAATGAAACCAATGTTTGATTCTAAATTAGTGAATAGAAAATGCGTTTTATGATTTATTCAGTTGTTGAAATTTTCATCAAAAGTAACTATTATACGTGCACTAAAGACTGAAATAAAAAGAAGAATTAAATCAATATCAAAAAGAATAAAGCAAAAAACGTGATTTTGATTAATTTAATTTATCAATAAGAGGACAGTACAGTTAACATGAATCGAATACATTTGATTTTTTTAAATAAATGATTCTTCCCGATAGTATGACGTATTTATTTAGTGATTAATATATAATTAGGCAAGCTAGAATATGTAGAACAATATTTCTTCCGATCGGAGAGTTCAGCAGTACTCATGTTTCATAGTAATAGCCCATTACACCGAAGGGAAATCAACTCCTACACACATCAATGTACTGATAGCTTTACGAAGGGTCTAAAAACAATACGTCAGTAAAAAGATCAGCCATGGAGATTTATCATTGTGCTCAATATAAATATTTTCTTGTTTTCAGAATAGAAGACGAGAGAAAAAAGTCAACAAAACCAGCTATTTCGAGAACACAGGTGACCTAAATATATTGTAGTTATTAATTAAAGTATTTTATTTTGTTGTGATTGTTAGAAGGCGCTCATATCTTCATTATAGAATATGCATACATGGGTACTTTATGTTCAAGTCAGATAGATTGTTCATCACTCTTTCAACGAAAATCAAAACCACGTATTGACAATGGTCGTCAGATAATAGAAGAATTATCGACAATAAATATTAGTGATCATATTTCAATGAATGATAATAATGTTCCTACTAGCAGCATCGATTTAGCTGGAGAATTCGTACCCGAGCGATACCTAGTTTTACTTACTGAACAAATGGTTGACATGCTCTTTCGTTTAATGATCTATAATGAGTCACGCATGTTAATGTCCGAATGTGACTTTGATCATCAAACAACATTACGCAACAGTATTGTTAGTGGTCACACATTGTCATCAAGTCCAAATTCTCCTAATCGAGAATCTTCATTACAATTACAATCCATGCATCAAGCATGTATTAAGTGCAAAAAGAAAATGTTGACTATTGAAGAATTTCGTGAACTGGGCCATTAGTATTTATCTTAAATACGAGCATGAACAGCTTGCATAGATTGTTTTTTTTGTATCTTTCTTAATATTTGATTTGTGTGTTTATACATACATGTGAACTTTCCCAGCAATATCATATTTTCGAATTTGGACCTGAAACTTTGTATGCATGAAGGTCTCAATAAGACTAGCTTATAGAAAAAAATCAGAAGTTTTGGACAAATCCTCTTCGAGATATGAATCTCTCAAAATATTGGCGATTTTCTATAGCAGCTGTATGCTTGAGACATCTATATCCCGAAGAGGATTTGTCCAAAACTTCTGATTTTTTTCTATACGCTAGTCTCATTGAGACCTTCATGCATACAAAGTTTCAGGTCCAAATTGGAAAATATGATATTGCTGGGAAAGCCGGTCCCGTAGAGAAAATTCACTGGAAAATCGAATATCTCCCTCTATGCAAGTTAATGGGAGCTAATATTTTAAACTTGTTAGTTTGCCAGTGAGAGCTTTCTTTTGGTGTAAAAATATCTAGTCTTGTCAACTTACAATACAAACACTTCCATTGTCAGATAAATTAGATATGTCTGTTTAAGGGAAAACAAAAGTACTTCAAAGCAATTAGTACGAAAACTCGTTATAAACTGTATTATGCACTTGGATGCAAAATGTGAATGTGCAATTTTTTCGTTTCAATACGAAAAGTACACAAAAAAAAACTTATGGATTTGAAAACAGCCATAATGTGGACTACTATTTTCCGAAGCTCAATCGTGCTCTGTCATCTTAACAGCACGTATAAACTTCTATATTTATTATGATACTTTCTTCCTTTTTTTCAATCTTAATATCATATGAACACATGTAAATAAGAAAACGAAGGTCGTATTTGTAAAAGAAAAAAAAAACGAAATGTGCAACCAAGCATAACGGAAGATGTGCGTGTGCACATTTACTTGAGAATACTAGATACGGTCACAACATGTTCGACGGATACAACGGTCGCCGACGGTTAAAAAATACTTTAGCCATAGCTCTCGGTCTCATAGTTTTAATAGCACTTTATTATACACCACCAGGTAAGATCTTTCTAATGAATATAGTGTAAAACTAAGCTTTTCTAAACTATGTAACCATCTCATTTAGCAAAAGTATCTCCATCTCAAGAAAAGCCAGTACCACAAATAATTGCACAAGCACCAAACACTCCATCACAGCCGATAGTAACAAAACAAAGACCAGGTGTTCTATCAAATATTGAATTTATTAATTCTCCTTATCTATCTCTTCATTTATTGCACACTAATTTCATACCAATCATTGTCCTATCGAAAGCTGCTAATGTTGAAATACGTGATTCTATACGACGTACGTGGGGTTTTTATAGGCCATATCTCAATGATACACTACGTATTAAGATATTTTTTCTCGTTGGTACAGATGATTTTATGATACAACGTATACGTACTGAACAAATTGTTTTCGATGATGTGATTCAAGTTTCTATGCCAGATATGCATACATTTTCTGCTTTTAAAGAATATTCTGCCATGCTATGGGTTCGTAATTACCTACCTAACGTACCATTCTATATAAAAGCGGACGATTGTCTTATTATTAATATGAGAGTTTTAGTTGGCAAATTTTTATCAATACTGAAACCGCTTGCTAATAAAAGTGTTGTGATTGGTTGGTATCTCACAGAAAATACTGTACAACGTGATCGCTTTCAAAAACTTGCAAATTCTGTAATGAGCGAAACAGATGGTGACTTCCGCTTTGCAATGAATTTATTTTATGTCGTAACCGCAAAAGGTGCTGATCGCATGTTGGAAACATTAAGTAAAATTGAACAAGTCGATTGTCCTGGTGAAATATTTGTGACCGGTATTCTTCGAGATGCTGCCAATGTTGATATGACTAATTTACAGCTATATGCGGAAAATTTTAGATTTGAATTCGCTGATGGATCATGTAGAAGCGCATTTGAGAAAGATCGTAACTTATTAATCTGTACATCATCATCACATATTGGTCCTATTCGTTCCATGTCTGAATATTTCGATGGTTGGCATGCAATAACCGCACCACTACCAGCATAGACTGATTAAGGATAGCGGTTTTTTCCTAAATATGCTGAATTTTCGAGAATATATGAATATATACAAGAAAAAAAATCTAAACAAACGAGTGTATTCATTGTTTGATTCGAGTCGGTTATGTTACACATGGAACTCAGACATTTTTTATTTTTACGAACGACTATTACAACAATCAAGTAGTATACAAAGATGAGACACTTGTTTTAGCTTTTTGTGTTAAAAAAAATAAAATTCAAACACAAAATACTAGACTTCTATTTTTAGTAACATTTGCATCGGCAGTCGGCGTAGAAGACACCGATACACAGAATTGTTATATTCGTGTCGCAATTGTTTTAATGATAGAGGTCGCATAAATATAATCAACTAATAAATCGCTAAGTTTTTCAAATGATCCAACGGACACACGTCTAGTTACTTTGTTCGTTTTGTTTTTCTGGCTTTAAAAGAAATATCTGAATCATTGTTATTGCCTGTTTATTGAAAAGTTAATTGTTTGCCTAGTCTTTTTCTGATCGATCATTAAAGCACTTGAAATGGCATCAGTTGCTGCTGCTGCTGCTATCCGTCGTATTCCACCACCACGTATTTATGGTTTGTGATAATCTTTTAGAAATAATCGTCTAATTTTCGTCTTTAAGTGTCTACTATAGCTGCTTCTATCAATCGACGTCGATCGACAACGGAAACCAAACAACCGACAGTCTATGAAAATGATCAAGATCATGAAAAGTCAATGAGAAGAAAATTTTTGTAGATTTATTAGAGCAATGACTTGTATTTCATTTAGATGTTTCATTCAAGAAAATGAACTACGTGAACTTAATCGGCGTCACTTAATACGAATCGAATTACTTGAAAATGATTATCGACAATTAGATGACGATATGGCACAATTACAACATGAACATAATGCTCTATTAAAACAAAAACGAATGTAAAACGAATATATTTTTCAAAATTAAATCTTATTTTTTTTCTTTTGTTTTCTACAGGCTAGAAGAAGAACTTGAGCGTTCATCTTATCATGCTACTTCCAATGTTGATCTCCATGTTTACACGCAAAGACTTGAAAATGAATGTCGCGATTTACGAAGTCAAATAACTCTGCGTGAAAAAGAAAAGTTTGAATTAAATGAAATGATTGCCGACTTAGAAGTTCAAGTAAGTGTATTTAATCTACTCCATTGAAAGAAGACAAATCCTTATTATCTTTGAAATTAATACAGAGCAAATTTGTTTTTCTCAAAAGCCTATCTATCTATCTGTGTTGATTATGTATTTATTTAGATGAAACAAGCGCGTGAACGACAAGAAGAATGGCGAGATGCATACAATGAACTCGAAAATACATTAGCAATAGAAACAGTATATAGAGGAAATAGTTTAATAAAACATTTCATACTATTTTGTTTCTTAGGAAACACGTCAATGTCTGGAAGTGAAATTAAAAGAAGCTAATATTCATCAAAAAGAGGTTAATTTATATTCGATGAAGAACTGTTGTCGAAATTTATTTTTAGAATGAAAATCAAATTCATCGTTTAAAAGCGGACTTCGATGAACTTATTTTAACAAAACAAGAAGTTCTCAAAGCAAATTATATCTTAGTTCAAAATGCGGAATCACTTCGTGAACAACTTCGAACGTTTGTAGAAAAGAAAATTCATAAAAACCCATTTAATATTGATTACTATTCTTAGGGTTCGTACTCAGGCAGCGGAGGTTCGAATTGTTTCTGCTTCATTAAGCACATCGTTCGATAATCTAGATGAATCTCTACCATGTTTAATCTACGATAACGATAATGATGATACTCCTGATTGCGAAAATATGAATAATCAGTCGGGAAATGGTCAATCATCATTATTCAGTGAAATAAATTCGCTAGTACGTTTACCATGCAAATCGATTGTACTCGTAGAAAAAATTCATTACTAAATTAAGGAAACAATGTCGAATGAAACTATCACAAAATGTCTTGATGGTACGCAACAAGATATTGAACTTGATTTACTCTTAGCTAAAACAACAGCAGTGTCATCGTCATTAACTTTAATTAATCAATTGGTAAATAATTTCTATTTTAAACATGCCATATATTGTTGAATAGTATTTATTTGTCTAGATCAATGAAGTAAAATGTCTTCATAGAGTTTTGCTCGAGCAAGAAAATTATGATTGCGTTGTTAATCAAGAACATGACCGTTTAGAAAACATGAAAATATTACTAAAACGTGTTCTAGATAATACTCAAGTTTTTGATACTCGGTAACATTGAATAATGAAGAAAAAGAAACTAGCACTAACTTATTTTCTTTAATAGATTTCGTAAATTACAATTGTTGCTAATTGCTAGTCGAGGTAGGAAATTTATAGAAAAGGTATCGCCAATATTTGTTTGTAAAAATCAACTTAAAAAAACCGAGAATTTTCTTATTTTGAAATTCCGATTGTCCTACATTACTGCTACTTGATTCATCTATACGAATAATTCTATCAGTTCTGAATCTTTGAAACCTCGTAGTTTATCTTGTATTAATTAATAGAACAACAACAATGCCACCAAGCTGAACTAGATGATTTCTTTCGTCTTGTTGATAAACGTCTACTATCTGAAAGTGAAGAATCATCAAATCAACAACATCGTCTCGTATCTATTCTCGAAGCATATGAACATGAACTTAATCGTTTACGTCAAACTACTCGTACTAATGATGACACTGTATTTATTTGCATTTTGTTTTTAAATAATTTTATAATCAATTTTATTTCTAATAATAGATTCGCTCATATGAGAGACGACTTGCCGAACAACAAAGTATGGCAAGTAACTGGCGAATGAAAAATACATTTTTAGAAAAAAATCAGCGAAAACTAATTGATAAAATCAAGTAGGAAATATGCAATTGAATATATAAACGATTCGCTCTCTTGTTTCTACAGAGAACTAAACAGTGAACGTCGGCAACTAATAGGTAAATAAAGTTTGTTTATAAATATTTCGAATCCATTTAAAAAAATTAGGATTTCAATGATGATTATTTATTAAAAGTTTCAGACTTCATATTAATATTTATTGTTGTATTTTTCTCTTGTAATGAAGTTCAATCTACTCTGAAATTTTTACAAGAAACTTCTTTATTATAAAACAAAAATAATTATTATAGAATCATCAGCACAAAAACGAACTCGTCGACGAGCACAACCGACAAATCAAATAGAACAAAAGCAAGAAAAGGTAGATAAAACTGACAAACTATGCTATTGTTCAATGTCTAATAATTCAAAGTTATTTAGCCGCCAGTAATTTTGCCACCACCATCAAAACCTGAAATTCGTACTTATCATCGTAAGTAAAATCAATTTATCTTTAAAATCTATTAACTCTATTATTCCATAGTAACACGTTCTCGTTCACTTCCATCGTTAAAATCTTCTAATAATGGTCGTCAATCACGCAATGATTCCGGTGTTGTATTGAATGATGAAATATTCAATCATCAATCTCAATCAATAATTCATAATCGTCGTCGTATAAAAACAAACACAATAAATCAACTTGTTATGCATACATCAAATCATGTATGTATCCAGAAAAATATCAATAGTAGTACTATTTCAAATAGTAAATATTTAACTCATACTTCATGTCGATTCCATTGGCTGTTTCATATATTTTTTCTATTTATCATTTCTCTTCTATTTTCATTTATAAAACTTTTTCCTCTTGATAAATAATCTATTCATCGTCTTCTTGATGTACTAGATTCTTTTTCTATACATATATTTCTGTGTGTGTGTTTCATTTCATATAATATATACATAGTACTTCTTATTAGGTCAATATTAATAAAAAAAAATACTTGTCTATGTAATCATAAACGATTATATTTGGTCTTTTTTTTTCTTTCTTTAGGATATATCTAAATCGAAGATGAGATGTTTAATTGAGCGTATGTCATTTTTGAGAAGGTCATATTCATCAATGAATATCTATATAGATATACATACATACACTCATTCATTTCGAAGACTGAATGAAAAGAGAAACACTGACGCACAACAAGAAAAAGAAGAAGAGAAATGACAATTATCAGAGTTCAATTATTTCCTGTTCAGCAAGACAAGCATTCATCATTGTTGATGATTCATTGCCTGAAGCAATTGTTACAGGCATTTGGCAAAATGTTTTCAAGGTCCGTGGGATAGTGTTCGAACATGATAATGATGAAGATAATGAATCCGAATGGCATGGAAGTGGAGAAGAAAAATAAGTTACAGTTATTGTTTGACCATCAGGAGAGAGACTAACGTTCGATGGACTTGATGGCGAAGCACAATGTTGGTGCTGTTGTTGTTGTTGTTGTTGTTCAATACTTGATATTGTTTCATAGCCACTGTCTCGAACACGATTGTAGGATGAAGAAGAAGAAGAGGAGGAAGAGCAATGCTCTAAAGAAAACAATCGTTAATTTATAATTAAGCATTCAAAAACAAAACAAAGAGCACTTACGTTCATTCGAATGAATATATCCAATAATATCATATGGATTATTCGTTGATTTTAATGCAAATGTTCTAAATTCATTTGGATTTTTTACTGTTGAAGACGAAAATTGATTAAATTGACTTAGAAGATGCTAGAAGAAAAAAACAATATTTTTTCACTGTGCACATTTATTAAGATTTATATCAAGTGCAGTGTATTCAACTGTCATTTTATGTTTCTTGTTAATTACATTTTCAATGTATCTATGATCTGTCATGTTATGTTTGCTAATTAGACAGGATTAAAAGAAATAGAATACTATTCAAAAATTTCTCGCACTTTGCGTCATCATGCACGTACTCATATATCCTACATCGTATCGAAAACGGCTTAGCAGTAGATTCATGTCACATATGAATATATATATCTTTTTCAAGGCAATATGGCACCAATAAAATCATTTGTTTCCATTGAATAATGAACGTGCATTCAGTAGATTTGTCGCGATTACATGAAAATCTAATTGTTCAAGTTGCCAAAAGAGAGAGATGCTTGTCGCTTAGTGACATTAAATAGATAATCAAATTTGTGTAGTACATTCTTTCCACTCAAATACTCGTTCACACTTGACAGACGACAAGAGAGCAATTCTTCTGCTAAGTCTTTATCCCTTTCTCATCATCTTCGCTTCGTTATCGTTTTGCATTTCTTATCCGCCAATGAAGACATTATTTGAATGTATTTTTAATTATAAAATGACAACGAACAATATTGTCGCCGTTGTTGTTATTCTCTATCGTCAACTATAATAGTGATACTGGCACGAGTGATCGCGCCGTTGAACAATGAATAAAGAATGTCACAGCAAGGGGTAACATATGGAGACAGAATTAACGTCAATTCGTACATTTTTTCTGACACCATCTGTTCTTATTAAATTGACAAGCATTTCTTTTTTTCCTTTATGATCTTTTTTGTCCCTCTATTTACCTGCTTTTGTTCATCGGCATGTACATCATTATCAATTGAATGATTGATATTTTCATCTTGGTCCATTTTCATATTTCCATCAATCAACGATGATGTTAATGAATGTTCACCTGGCCCATTTTCTAATAATGGTAATTGTGTTTCTGTTGGACCTTGAAGACAATAGAGTGTTCCACCCGTTGCATTACCATTCCTATTACTTCTTAATTTCCTTTGTTGACGCATTCGTTGATGACGTAACGATAATGATGATGTTGACGATAATGATGATGATGATGATGATGGAGGAAGAAACACTAATTTCATGCCAACTAATGCAATAACAATTGCAATAGAAAGCAAAACAAATAGAAGTATAACATTGAGTAATGTTAAATCAAAATATGAATGTGAACGCTTTGATGTTAAACGTAGAGCTTCTAAATATTCTCGTGCTGTATCCAATGTTACAGTTTGATTGGTTTCATTTGTACCAATAGCTAATGCTAATTGTATAGTTTGAATACACGGTTGATCATCAATACTAACTAAATCATGAAGACGAAATTGTAATATATAAAATTCATGTTCAGGTAATATAAATGCAGATAATAAAAATCGATTGCGTTCTTTTGATTCAATCCGAAATATATCATTGAAATTAAGTAATTCAATTAAACATGTATCATTATCACCATCATAAATATCCAAATAGAATTCATTCAAATTTTGACTTGCATTATATAACCAAAGGTCTTTATTAAAAAATAATGCTGTTGAATTATTGATTAATTCAGGACAAAAATCATTTCGATTAAGAATATTTATTGTTACAGGTACAGTTGTATTAAGACCACCATTGTCAATTGCCATAATAGAAAATTTATATTTCGAGCGATGTTCATAATCAATACCTAAAAATTTGATTATTATTTATTTAATAGAAACAAGAAAAAAAAACGAGTGAAATGAATTTACCAACAGATGTTCGCTTAAGATATAATGTACCATTTACTGTCAATCCAAATGGCCATTGATCTAATATTGTTGACTCATTACTAATTAACATATATTGCAATTCACCATAGTATTCATCAGCATCAGTAGCATAAACATGCCCGATGGGTGCAAGACTAGGCCATGTTTCAGCTATTTCAAATTGATATTCAGGCAAATCAAATATAGGAAAATTATCATTTATATCGATTAAATAAATTGTACAATGAACGATGGATGATAATGATTGTGGTTGACCATGATCCATTGCAATAACATCAAATTCATAAATAGAAGTTTCTTCACGATCAAATCTCGCGATTAAATATAAATCACCTGTAGTTGAATTTAATAAAAATATAGTTTGATTTGTTTCGTTTGCAAATAGATATTCAATTTGACTGTTAAGTGTATTTTCTTCGTCATTGTCAACAGCATGAAAATGTAAAAGTTTTGTATTAATAGGAATTGTTTCGGATATATTGATTGAATAAAATTCTTTATCGAATTTCGGTGCGTTATCATTTTCATCGAGAATAATTAAAGTAAAATTTAATGTTGTTAAAAGTGGCGGAATACCATGATCATGTGCTTCGAGATTAATTTCATAACGTGATTGTTCTTCCCGATCATAGATACGTTGAGTAAACATAAGAAATGCTTCATTATTCAATAATTCTTTGATAGCTATAGTGCCATTACTCTCAAGCGACCAACTCACTCGGCCATTGTCACCCTGATCTAAATCACTGATTGAGATGTGACCCTATTGAAAAAATAGATAGTAGTACAAAAAAGCTAAGTATAATTAAGGTTTTCTTTTTTTTTAAGATTATCTATTAGAGTGGGACAATAGATAGAAAACGAGACAAACTCATCTACGGGTGGAGATAAAACATGAGCACACGCAGCTACATTGATATCTCAGGGGAATTCTGTCGTGGAGTGACAGATTAAGTTCAAACCAAGGTTGAAAGTAAGGAGGAGAAGAAGAAAAAAGCCAAAACTCTATTTCGTCACGTAGATAACCGCATATCAAAAAAGAAATGGCAAAGCTACTTACTAGAAAAGTTCCATTCGGAGTATTTTCACGAATTCGAATAATACTTCTATTCAATAGATTTTCTACACCTGATGTTGGATCATCATTAAATGTCGTTGTTATTAATGGATGATTATCATTTTCATCTTTTAAATCAATATCAATAGTAGCAAATGCCGCTATTGAACCTTGTTGTGGTCCATTGTCTTGTGCTTTCACTTTCATGCGGAAAGCTTTTTCTTTTTCATAATCGAGTTTTTTCGCAAGACGTATTTCTCCTGTCTCTTTTGATAACGTAAATGTTCCGTTGGATGGCGGATCTAGTGAAACAATTGTATAATAAACAAGACCATTAAGACCTGTATCGCCATCATGTGCATGCACACGTGCAACAAGTGAACCAATCGAGGTTGCTTCACTTAGTAGAACACGTATATAGGATTGATCAAATACTGGTGACATATCATTGACGTCAAGAATATTTATAAGAATATTTAATTTACTCATAAGCGCCTGTGGTTGTCCACCATCATAAGCTTGCATAATATATTTTAATGAATCACATGATTCTCTATCGAGTATTTTCATCAGACGTAATGCAAGTAAATCATTTTTCTGTGAATATTCTATTTGAAATGCTTGCGGTATTTTATTGATAGAACTTTTGTTTGTTGAATTTTCTTCAATAAGTTTATAACCTTGAATTGAATTTATTCCATAATCACGATCAATGGCAACATCAAGCGGAATTAAATATCCGATAGGTACATTTTCTAAAACATCGATTGTTATTGAAGATTTTGGAAATTCTGGTGCATGATCATTACGATCATCGATAACAACAGATAAATCATTGAAATATATTTGTCCCATATGTACACAAATCACTTCAAGTGTTATCTCACATTTTGAGCATGAACACATACGACGAAGACAAAAATCATCACGATCAATTAACTTTTTTGTTATAACACGTCCCGTATATGGATCAATAAGAAAAAAATCATTGGAATTCTTTTGACTATCAACAAATCGATATGTACCAGTACTGTTTTCTGTTTTACAACCATCTGTTATAAATGTATAAATTGATGTGCCAATTGGGAGATCTTCAATAATATGTATAGATTGTTTGGGTGCGGATGAAACCAGAAATAAAAAATTGATAAAAACTAAAAGTTGCAACATTGTCTATTGTGTTTAATTGTCTTGCTTGGTTAATTTAAATGAGTAAATATTGTCGTCATCATCAACTGTACCAATGTATGTGTGTATATTTGTATGTGAACAGGAACAATCTGTGGTGGAAGAAGAGAAAGGATTTCCTCATTAATATACGACATATTGAACACACACACGCATAGACAGAAGAAAGAGAGAGAGAATGAGAGAGAGAGAGAGAGAGAGAGAGAGCAATGAGAATGAGAGAATGAGAGAAGAGAATTAACACTTAGACTTATTGTGGTACCATCGTAGAGGAGAAGCAGAAAACGAGAGGGAAAAATCTTATTCTCTTGCAATTTTTTCTTTTTCCGGAAAAGAAAAGAGGAAAGTAGGGACACGCATAAACTATAAATGACTGACCGGTGTCTTGAAAAAATGAGCCTTTCCGCTCACCAGACCCAATGGACAACTTATTACCTCTCTATTTCTTTCTTTCTTTTTTATTGCTTGCCACTGTTATTAGTTTCAAGTTACCTTTTTCATCTCTGGTCTTCTCCTTGTTTGGTGGCTTTTTTTCTGTCTCTTCTCTTTTTTTGTTCTCACTCGTTTTCTTCACATTGAAGCGGTGACCGAATATGAACAAAAAAAAAACGAGAGACAAAGAGAGCATTTATATGAGCCGACACTAAACATTCTGTCAAGGCCATAGCCAATTTTGTTAGACGGACTATGTCGGTGGGTGGGTGTGCTCATACATTTCTAGACGTTAAATGACAAAACAAAGACAATGATTGACATGCCATGATCATCAGTTCAATGAATATGAACAAAAATCACACCTTTAGAAACTTAAAAATGACAGTCTCTATGAGTGTTCGAGTGTTTGATGTTGACTTTTACTCCTTTTCCTCTTTTTTTTTGCTCTCGTATATGACTAACTTATGATCATCAATTGAAGAGTTTAAAGAGTGAGCATACAACAGATGGATTTTATGCTTGAGATGAACGATTATCATCATTATTCATAGAATTACCCAATGCATCAAACCGCACCAATTGGCACTTGAAAAAGAGACATACACCAAAAAGTATCGACCGCTCTATGACGGCTCCTCTCAAGACGATTACGTAAAATGAGAGACAAAGAATGAAAGGGGAAAAGAAATCTTCAACAATGATAATGGCTAGCTCGCTCGCATATGGCCGTGTGTGATGCAAGAAATAAAGCATTCAAATACACTTTCATATATGTAATACAGGTGAATGCTCACAACTTTATCGAATGGAATGCTGATGCGTTTATTTGTAATTTAAGAAAAAATGTTACATGTGTATATACATGAATTTAGATGGAAAGAAATAGTGATCATCATGTTTTTTGTTGGTCAGTAGAGAATTGAATAATGCTTGTGAAAACATACACAGCAGTAACAGTGATGATAGCAACATAATCATTATTGTGGTCGTTTTCTCAATTGTGTCTGTCGCTTTCCTTCGTATATATATATATATATATATATATATATATATATATATATTGTAATAGTTCATTCATTTCTCGACAGTATAACGAGCTTCGTCGGGCGGATACATGACGTTAATGATGTGTTTTCACAGATTCGCTTGCCTTCGCCAATATTACCATCGTTTATCTCATATTATAGATTTATAGTTTGCGCAGTTCTAATTACGACATATCTTACTCTCGGGTGGTGCAACAGATGTTTTGAACACATACCAGCAATGAAGGACAGCCAAAGAAAAGTTTTTTTCTCTCGCTTTATGTATGTACAAGTGTTTGTCTAGAGATCGGACGACTATGGATCACTTGTTTTGTGTACAATAAAGAATTCAACAACCTTTTCAAGAGAATTTTTTTATACTCTCACTTGTCATATATATATTCATAATAAGAATATGCATTACACTTGCTTATTTATATGTATATTTATATACAAACGGATTTATTCTTTCTCTCTGACAGCTCAACACTCGACAGGCCAGTATAAATGAACGTCAACGATACCGGATCGTTTGCCTGACTGAATCTTATGCAACCATCATTTGCTTATATATTGTCTGTCGGGCACATTCTATCTATATGTGTATACATATATATATATACATATATATGACAAGGTGAAGAAACAATTTGTTTCACACTGAATCTTTGCCGATGCCAGTCACACCGACGAGAATGCCTCATTAAAGCACATGTGTATATATGCATATATGACTAAGAATTGAATAGGTGACAAAAAGCTCTTTACTACAATTCTCTTCGTTTAAGATGAATGCGTTCTCGAATGGTATAGACATTGAACTTTCCTTTATATTTTATTCTATTTTTTCCCTACTCTTTTATACTGTCCACGACGAGATTAGTTCGAACGACTAATTGCTTATATGGACATTACCGTATATGAAGGCGCACGCATGCGCGCATTTCCGGTCACCGTTTTCTTTTTTTTTGAAGGGAATGGAGACACCGGGTAGTCGCCGGCGGCAAAAGAAGGGAAATGGAAACGCTCATTGTGTGAAATATTAAGAAAAAATTAGACATCAAAATTGAGCGTCACTGTCTGTCTCGCTGTTTGAAATAGACAGTCGTAGACAATACAGTAGACAAACTATACCTCTCTATAGGGAATGATGAACCATTAAAACGTTAAAAGGAAATGAGATTCTATCTAAGATAACTAGTTTTCAACAAAGGTATCATTAACAAAAGATGTAATTATGAAATATTGGTTCTTTCTTTCTTTCTTTTTTTCTTTCTTGATAAGGCAGAACTAATTATCCGGAATTCACATTTTTTTTTAAATTAAAACTGTGCGGAATCTCTTTAATTCAGACTTATTCTATAATTATAATCACTAGGCATTATTCATTGGGTAAAACGTGCTAATCAGAAAAGACAAGTTAGATTGCGTCAAACTACATTTCAGGTGAGTAGGCTTCAGAATAAATTATGTATTAACTGACCTCATCGACCTGTATGTGACATTGCAGAGGAAGGGGGGGGGGGTCGATCCATTCAGATAATAAAGTAGCACGCATATAAATTACAAGTTGATTGTTTCTTTTCTTAAGAGGCCTCTACCGTTTCTACAAATTTTCAGCGTTCAGTGGTACCGGAACTACATTTATGTTCACTGAATGGTGGATACTGATTCAGAATATCATATTATTTGTCGTAAATCTTAGAGGATTTGATGAATGATATTACCATGTGGGCACTAATTGAAAATGACTGGATACTAGTGATAAATCGAATATACGTGGTTCGGTGATACCACTCGTAGCATTTTGTATTTTGAATAGACTCATCTTATCAGATAAACAAAATTGAGAATCACTAGGGGAGAGTTTTTATTTGAATTTATTAGTTGCAAATGTTTTTCCTTAAATAGATATTTTGATTTTGCAGTAAATATTTCTATAAAAACGGCGTATAGTTTTAATAATATTCGGAAAAAAAAATCGCAATTAGATCTCTATTTATTATACGAAAGCGTTCATCATAGTTTGATATATAACACATACCTATCTTTGCATTCGATTATCTTAAAAACTTGGTTCATTGTATTGAAAATAAGAATATATTCGATGTCGTATGTTCAAAATGAAAAAAAATTCTTTTCGTTTTTCCATTTCTGTTGAGACAATACGATCAAATACTCGACTTATCCGCATACTGTTAGCTCTTTTGGTCCCTCTATGTCGTATGAAAAGAATTTCATTGGAGCAACAGGATTTTTATTTGCTATTTTGCCATTTTTTGTCGTCTATGGCCCACATGCGCCTTCGAGAAATAACTTTATACAACGATATCTTTTGGGGCTTCAACACAATAGAAATATTTGATCTCTTACTTTCCGGAGTAGCTAAATTTTCTTCTGTAAGCAGATTACTTCAGCGAATATTTTTTTCTTCCGAGTCATATTTTGGGTATTTTTTGAATATCATTATCCAACATGAATCATTTATTTGCGTTGCATAAAAGGCATCGTATATTTTTCTTTTTGCTTCATGCATCAGCATTTGCCTATTCTCACAACTACTCGAGGCATGACGGTGACTACAAATTGATATTGCTGCATTAAAGATTGTAAAATAAAATTGACAGTGATGTGTTTGGGATGCTCAGAAGTACTCTATTGTGGTCCACGTCATAGGCAACATCGTGATCATCTGCATGTCAAATTACTGCAAGTGGCTGATAATTGTAATCAGTTTCTAGAAGAAATTAAAGTACTAATTCGTAATCCACAAAAACATGCATTGATGAAAAATATTGACGAATGGGAAACGCAGTCAATTGCAAAAATTAGACAAATGACAAAAGAAAGTAGAGAAGAATTCAAGAGGGAAAAGCGATTTATGAGTTTCATGATTTTTCTGAGTTTAGCTGATTTAAAATGAGTTTGAGAAAACGAAAAATTTGCTAAACTAACTAAAAACTATTCCAAATCATAAATTATTACTGAAAATCATTCAAAGGCACCGAAACTCACGCAAACTCATTCCAATACAGTTAATTTATATTGATTGTAAGTTGAGTTTTACTGTGATTTAAATCAGCTTTTTCCCCCTTGGAAGAATTGCTTCCTTATGTCAAAAATTTTATTCCCAGAGTAGAAACAAAATTGGCAAGTTTAAATGCTGAAGTTCATCAGAATCGAGTGATGCCATAATATCCTTACACCCAGTAACGACTTTCTAGCACAAACATGTTAGAGTATTCGCATTAGGTGCATCCACTTTTGGGTATCCACATTTAAAAATATATATATATATATATATATATATAAATGTGAATACCCACAAGTGGATACATTTGATGTGGTTACATCAGATTGTAGATGCACTAAGAATGGATACTCCATAAATTATTGCTGCATAGGATATTGTGACGTAAAACTCTCGATAACCAGTGTAAATGTATTATGACATCTATGTCGGGTGTGGGTGCGTGGGGTGTGTGGGTGTGAGTGTGGGTGGATCTTCTTTTCAGTGACACCCACACCCACGCCCTTCGTCTAACACAAGTTCTTTTGGTCTGATTGGCTTTTGAACAATGTATTCATATTTTCAAGTATTTCAAATCAATACAGTAACTATGATGGATGGTTTTTTCATGAGATTTCGATGTCAACCAATGTATGCTAGTCTTTGCTGATGATGATGATGAGTAACCAGATAAGCATCGATTTTGCAGTTTTATTCGATTATAATTTTTTTAGAAAAACAACTTTTTTCGAAAATAACTGAATAATAATCAGATAAGTTCATATCAACTACATAAAGATGTATATATTTTAAACTTGAAAATATCTCTTCTCTTTCGATTTCAATATTAGTTTTGCAAAGGCTGAATCTAAACAATGAATAGTTAGTTAATAACAAATAAACGTGCGAATTCTGAAATTCGGTTTTAAAGAAATGAACAGTAGCACGGTATATTTACTTTTTCAAATCTATAACGGAATAGCTTATGTCATACAAACGTATGTTAATTAGATTGAGAAATTTAATTCTAGATAATATGCTTTTTTTGGTCTCTTGCAATCATGAGATAATCTTGGTTTATTGAGTAAAAGTAGACTGACGATTTTAGAATAATTCATCAGCGTTGTTGCATCTCGTTTAAAACAGTACAATGCGTTTTCTTTAAATAATTTTTTCATGAATGAAAATGACATACCAACATGACGCCAGTTGTTTGCTGTATAATAGCATTGATATACATTTTTCAATAGAGAATTATCGATGCATGAATTATCCTTAAAATGACGAAGGTTATCTATTGAATATCTTCATTTGATGGTAAACTACTTTGATTGTGAGAACAAATAAATGAGCATAGATTTATGAGTTAATGAAAAGTCTTTTAAATGGAAAATTTTCTTCTTAAAAAACTAAAAGGACAGTCTTACAATTCATTATTGTTGATAGAAAAAGAAAGGAATCAGATAATATACAACTTTAATCACCAACTAACGAGCGATAATTGTCGTACGAGTCTATTTCAATATGCTATTCTAATAAAGTGGAACAAAAAACTATCTGAACATTTACGATCACAAATGATAAAATTTCAATTTTGTGAATACGAAGTACGCAGAAACGTTCAACTAAATAAACACGAATGATTTTTATAAATTTTCCGGTGTAGTTTGCTTTGGAATCTATCTTTGTTCATAAGAATGACCAAAATTTGATATTTCTTCTCGAAAGATATGTCATTGACGGGGAAAACTTGTATTTGTGCTTGTGATATCCTAAAACAATAACATTGAAGAATATGAATTGAGATGAAACACTTGCAAATAACAAGGATAGATGGCACACATTGCAGGTTTTTCAACAATGTTCATTATTGAAATTATCGAAAAAAATATCTCAATCAGTAAAGTGATCTCTATTTGCTTCTAGATCCAAAAACCCAATGAGAAAACTCATTAATTCTATACTTCAAAAAGATTTTGTTCGTCGACGATGCATTTATTTATTCGAATTGAATTTTTATCATAATAAAATAAATCTTACTGCCACTACTTTCTTTAATAGTATTTGATATTTTCCATTCGATATTCAATGTTTTTTGATATTTTTCTTCCAGATTTCCATTTCAATAAAATTATGAGAACAAAACCAATCGTGATGAATTGCATCTCTTTCATTACCTTAACCCTCATACAAAATAAAATTGAATAGTTACAAGTATTACAGTTAAACGTGTTTGATTTAATCTAGTCTTCATGCTGTATTCAGTTCGTATCAACTAATATCGATCAATAGCCACTCAACTAACACTTATTCAATGAAACAAATAAGAAATAGATGTAATACAAATTAAAAAAAAATACTATTTTAAACAGCTTTTTCGGATTCACATTATTCATGAACATAACAATGTATAAAATGATTAATTTACTCTATAATTGCAGTCCACTTGAAAATCTCAAATGAAAAATCGAAAGCTATGCCGTTACAATAGATTATTTAACTGTTGCAAAAATTATTATGTTTATTTCAATTCAGTTAGACTTTGTGAATTGCTGCACATGAATAATTCGTTTTTTATTCTAATGGGTACCAATTAAAAACTACTTGCTTAAAGACACATGTACCTTTTAGCTGAACAGGAAATATGATGTTCACATAAAAACCTTTCAACAAAAGTCATGTAAATAATTTTTCAAAACTACAAAATTCGAAAAAGATTAATATAGAAAAAGTTGATAGAAAAATTATTACAGAATGACAGTCCAATCTATAAAGTGGTGGTTTATTAAAGTTTCAATAGAAGCTCTTTAATAACATTTAATGATTCCAGATTCATTTTTTGTAGCCTTCGAGGAGAAGTTTCTACATGTAATCTTCATGAAACGATTTTTTTTATTGTGAATATATTCCACTTACTGGATTTTTATCTGATTTCGTTAAGTTAAAAGTGTTACTCTGATCGATCGATGTTATCCTCAATCTGCACAATAGTAAAATTTAAACAGATCTGATAAAGAATTTCAATATTTCTTTTTTGTTTCCAAGATGATTGACCATTACAAATAAAACAGGATGTTTTCTAAAGCAAAATTCAACATTAGTTTTTCAAAATGCAACAACAGCTGGAGGATATTTATTCTATCTGAAATTTCAGCTGGTATTCATAGTATTTAATTTATTTAATTCTAAATGAAATTTCGTCTTGACCATTTCTATTATTATTATTATTGATGATGAAAAGACTCGTGTTGTATGAAGACGAAAATTTACAGGTAGTTTGTTTGTCGATTCATTAGAAATATTTTCTTTTATTCTTGAAGTATTATTTCATAATTCAGTGTCATTTAAGATAAAAGAGACCGAACAATATGCAATGCACCAATTTGTTCAGTCTATCATTCTCATAATCTTGATTTGAATCAATTGTAATTGGATGATTTTCGATACTGTCATAAAATTTAGCTTTTTTTTCTTTCCTTTTAACTTTTTCATTATCAACATCGGAATAGCTTTTCCATTTTAGAAGATATTAAGTATTTTTTTTCCTTACATGTTTACCAATAGTAGCTTCGCCATTCATCACTATTTGAACGGAATTCAAGAGGACGTTTTTACCACAACGCATCAATCATTCTTCACTTTAGTTATTTCTTTTTCTTACTATCTAAAATAATGAAACCCATGATAACTTCCCTCGTTCCTAATTGAGATTTCTCAATCCTTTCAATTCATGACGTCAACGAAGTTAGCGCCATCTTTACCAATCCTACGGAACTTGAGAAACTATTCGTTCCTACTGGGCCATTGCTAGTCGGTCTTCGTTCGTTAGTAAAATGTGTAAAGACAAGCGGGATGTCGTGCTCTGTGTCTCCACGAGAATAGTTGCTTATTACAACTTACCAAGAGGTAAATGATCTTTACTGATCAAATACATGTTGCAATGACGAAATCGTGCGGATTGTTGGAAACAACGATCTGCCAGAGCAACACTTTTTAACGAATAAATGAAAGTATTCTTATTCCGTCTGTCTGCTCGTATCGTCGCGAAACACATGTTTCTCGATTCAAAAATATCTAAATGTTCAGAAGTGAGCGATAAAACTAAAAGCCACATTAATTTATTTTCATATCGACGACAGTAGATGCTGTTTGCAATTTTATAGTCAATAATCACTATCAGCATGCAGAAAAAGAAGCCGATTTTCTTTTATTTCTGTTGAAGTTCATAAATATTGAGAGAGGTCCTCAATAAAAAGTAATATTTGAAAAAAATGCAATACGATTATGAGAGTATCCATGAAAAGATCGTTCTCCTTGTGAACAATGACATTCATAACCTCGTGTTCATCTTAATTTTCGTAAAAATTCAAGAGAAAAATGAATAGGTGCTTCTCACCATGATCTTCTGAAAGTATTGATTCATTTAGAACTACTACTATTCTATTTTCTTTTGAAAGCTACGAGGCGACTACAATTTAGAGGATATGGATACAAACAATCATAACACAATATTCACATTAAAGTAATAATAAAAGTGTTGCTCTGGTAGATCGTTGTTTCCAACAATCCGCACGATTTCATCATCGCAACATGTATTTGATCAGTATTTTTTATTTTTTTTTTTTATCAAAAATATACAAACAAACAAAGTCTAGTTTTATTTCGCCGAAATGAATCTGAATTTTGCCCCTTACAATATGATTTAAGTTAAATACTTCATATGACAAAAAATGACAAAATACCCAGACACCCTCAAGACTCCATCGAATCCGCTTTTTACTAAAATATCTTGTTTTTTTATTTTAAATCATGCCGATCACTACTTTATTAGAATCAATAATCACTTTCCAATAAATATTTCGACTTTTTTTGTGTCTTTTTTTCTATAGCTATACATAAACACCGGCTAGTTATTTTCGATATTTTCTAAACAACTCATGGTTGGGTTTAGCGAATCGAGCTAGACCGGCCCAGTTGGTTTCTTTTTATTTTCCATATATGTTGTTTCGTCAGCACCTGACAAGGAATTCATTGTGCCAACACTTCGATCGACAGATGACGATGACGCAGCAACTTGTCCTATAGATTCTTCGTCTTTATCTTCACCACGACGTGTTACTTGAAGAACTCGTTTAAGTAATTGACGTTGTTCGTCTCGGGTTGAAAAAAATAAACTTTCATCTTCATTAACTAATCGCGTAATAACTTTGTATGAATAACCTTGATTGATAAGAAAACTTTGTCGTTTTTCTGAATAATACATTTCAACAGTATCTTGAGAAACAAGCGAATAGAAAAATGCATTATATTCCTCCACAATAGTGCCTTTTTTAGCTCGTAAAATTCGGCCAAGTCGCTGTGCTTCTTGTCGGCGAGATCCATCATGACTTGATATTTGTATTAATACATTTGCATCAGGCAAATCAAATGATGTATCAGCCACTTTTGACACAAAAATTGTGTTTATTGTTGGATTATGTAGGAAGTTTTGTAGAATTTGAATACGTTCACTTTGCGATGTTTTACCGCAAATATATGGTTTGCCTAAGTTTTTTGCATATAGTTCTAATGCAAACATACTATCAGAGAAGACAATAATTTTATCATTTCGTCTTTCATGGTAGCGTATTAAAAATTGGCAAGCACGAAATTTATTTGGATTCATAACACATAAAAGTAAACGTCGATGTTTATTGTTTGTTACTGATACATTATGTTTGAAAGAAGTCCGGCGTCATTTGACACCGAACTTCAGCACATTGAACTTTGGCAATATGGCCTAGATTTTGTAGTTCCATCCAATTGGCTTCGTATAATTTAGGGCCGATTAAGAAATTCAAATCAGTTATTTTGTCATCTTCGCGAACTAATGTTGCTGTAAGACCTAATGTTGTATGTGCACGAACGATAGTTAAAACTTTACGAAATTGTTCAGCAGGTATTGTATGAACTTCATCAAGAATCATTAAACCCCATTCACGATCTTTGAGCAGTTTCATAACTTTTGTTGTTTCAGCATTACATTCCTCAGGACGTGCAATCATTGGATAAGTACTTATGCATACACATGAATCGTTTGGTTCTTCTTTGTCATGCGATGTAAATAATCGCACTTTAGAATCATCCGCTGTTGACCACATCTTAAATTGTTGTTTCCATTGTTGAACAGAAACATTCGAATTACAAAGTACTAAACAACTTTTATTTATTGTACAAGCAGCTGCAACACCAACTAAAGATTTTCCGGCACCGCATGGAAGAACAATCAAACCGGATCGTGCACGTCCATTGCCAAACATTTTTCTTAAGCTTTTTTCTTGATAAGGACGTAAAATAGCATTAGGCCGAAGCTCAATATTTAAATTTTTTAAAACAATATCATGACGAAAATCATATTCTTCACGTAATGGACATTCTAATTCTTGACATCGCTTTCTTAGAAGTTCAATTTTATTTTGAATAACTTCAAATGAAACAATTTTCAAATCTTCCATATCTTCTTCGTCACAGTCGATTTTTTCATATAAACGTCGAATACCATCAGGTACTTGTTCGTTTGTTGTCGCCGGTGTATCTGTAGTTGCAGTTGCTGCAGCTTCTCTCGGAATCACGAGTCGAGCGTTCTCTGCTGTTGTATTTGTATCAAGATCATTTCCCGTTGTGACTAGTCGACATTCTTGAATTTGTGAATCTTGGAGAAGATTTTTTAAAATTTCAGGATAAGCACTTTCAACAAAATATCGATTAAGTTTCAATTCTAATTTTACTTTAGCGTAACTCAATGTACACAATCGAATAAATTGAAGAATATCCTCTGGTACTGTTGTTTTACTAAGTCGTTGTAAATATTCAATAATATCCTTTGTTTGTAAACCAACTGATACAGCAGCATATAGCGAATAAACTGACAGTTTATATTCATGAATATGTTCTGGTCGACATACAGGCTCAGCAATAGCAATTAAAAAATCATGAGCATGTTTATTAGCCGGTGAGAATGACTCGAGGAAAATATGACCATCTGGTGTTACCCATAACGGACGATTTTCATGCTCAACTTTCAGTTCCATTTCTGTATGAAAATCTTTCAAACCTTCATTCGTCAGTCCAGTTGTCAATGCTCGATATAAATCATCATCTTCAACATCAACTGAGTCTTCTAATGGTCGAGATGCTGCTTTTGGACTAAATGCTTCATCATTAACTTTATCGTCATCGTCATCGTCATCGTCATCTACATTAATATCAATATTTTTTAATGATTTTGCTGCTTTTCCCGCCGGATCGTTTGATGCAGAACGTTTACTCATGGATCTTTTACGTCTAGAATTTTCGTATAAAGATAAATATTAATTAATGCGTAAGCTATTGCTACAATAATAACTAAGTCGTATGTTCGAAAAGCAGATGTGGATTTTATTGCTTTCTTATCATCACTTTATAAAAAAAAAGGTCGCGGTAAGTTGTAACAAGCAATTTTTCTCGATGATACGCGGAGCACGATATCGTCTTTGCCTCTACTCTTTTCATCCTACAAAAGGAGGACGTATGTGAGTGATCTGTCAGGACGACAAGAATATCGTGCCCCACATATCAACGAGAAAAATTGCTTATTACAAACTTGC